ATTTATTTTGTACTTCTTGTAGAAACCAAACCCCACAAAGTTCAATAAAGTCTTCAAAGATATGAAGTATTTATTATGACAGTAATAACAGTGTTCAAACTGCAGGTTTCCTCGACTGCATGTCTCAGGCCTGATGCACAGAGCAGCATTTATTAAAGAACTCTGACACTGAGTTTCATTCAGGACTTGAACCAGGACTCTGAAGCCCTTTACATTTCAAATAGAAAATCTAAAATGAAAGCACACTCAGTTTCTGCTTAATGAAACACTTTATTTTCCAGTTGAGAATGTGATCTAACTTCTAATGATATACATTCAACTAATAATGTAAAATAAAAAATGATATATCAACGAACAAATCAATAAGAATCAAGGGTTACCTGATGTTCAAATACACAGAAAGTTCCCTTTGAAGGTATCATCGAAAACCTCGTCGTAGCCCCTCCCTCCACCGAAAAAGAAATCGCTGTCAATCAAAAATAGATTGACAGGTCATGTTATTTAAAGAAAATATATACATGTAGAAATGCATAATAAAACGGAAAGTGAGTTCATAATTGTAATGATTTGACATCAGTAATGTGTAACCACTGAGACTATCTGGATAACACATAATCAATGTGTATGCCCTTTAAACGCCCTGCATGCAAATACAAAATAAAGATCAAATGGATGATAGTAAACAGACCTGATCCAGGTTTTTCGAGAAACGTCTTTACGTAAAACTGAATATTTCAGTATTTTATAAACTCAAAATGTATAAATGTGCTAATCAAAGATCATCATCATCATCATCATCATCATCATCATCATCATCATCATCATCATCATCATCATCATCATCATCATCATCTAGTCCTGTTGCTCTACCCTCACAGAGATCTTCATTGGGAGAATCTGCACTGGGAATCCATGCCCTGTGAAAACGTATGGAAACAGCCTCTCAGTGAAAGTGTGTGTGAAGGTGTGTAAGTGTGTGTTAGTCTCAGGATCAGAGAACGACAGCGTTCCTCCGTCCCAGTCCAGATCCACTCTGACCCTCTGGAGCTCCTTCTCTAATGGGAGATCCATTTCTCCATCTATGGAGTCTGCAGAGAATTCACCTTCAAAGAAACATATTCTCCATAACCCAGACTCAAAGTCTCCCTTCCTGTCGACAGACTCTGCCATCACTCCCAGTTCCCAGTGTGTACTGTTTTCCACCTGGACGTCCCAGCTGTGAGTCCCTGAGGCAAAGCCCTCAGAGCCCAGGACAGAGCAGAAACCACCAAGCCTCTCCGGATTATCAGGAAGTTCCTCTTCCTCCTCTCTTAGTCTCGCTCTGGTCAGATCTTCAGACACGATGAGGTATGGATGAGCAGTGTTTGGGTCCAGGATGAGAGGATGATATGACACCATGTCCTTCATCTTGCTCCAGATGTTGAAGCTGAGGTTGCCCAGGTGTTTGGCCTGGTCTATCAGAGCTCCTGAGGGCAGCTGTGGATCCTCCAGCAGGGGGCGCTGCAGCCTCTCCACTGCAGCCTTGTAGTTGAGCAGGAAGGAGACGTCTTCAGCTCTCAGCACCTCCTCTGTGGCTCTGACTGTGAGTGAAAGAGCTGCTATCTCTCTGCTCACAGCCTCCATCTTCTCCTCCATCATCCTCCTCTTCTGCTCATCTTCCTCCCTCAGTGCAGCCATCCTGGCCTCCTCTTCCTCTTCTAGAAACTGGTGAAGCTTCTTAAACTGCTCCTCAATCTGCAGCTCTGTGTGTTGAGCCTGGTCCTTCATGTATCCTGCTGTTTGAACACACTTCTCCTTAACTCTTTCAAAATCCTCTAAATTCTCCTGTAAGGGCACCAGAGATCTCCGGAGCTTCTCTTTGAGATCCTGAGCAGCTTCATCGATGGGTCTGAATCTGTGGTTGTTGTGTGTTCTTGAATCTCTGCAGACGACACACACTGGCTGCTGATGGTCCAGACAGAAGAGTGTGAGCTTCTCAGAGTGCAGACTGCAGAGAGCCTCTGGAGATAATCTGGAAGCCATTTGTTCTCAGAGTGAAGCAGAAAACCCAGCAGGCAGACGGCAGCCACTCCCTGAAAGTTACTGTTCTTCTGTTGTTCTGGTAAAACTCTGGTTCAGTGTGGATTCAGCAGCTGCTGGAAGTGGAAGTATTCCAGTTTTCCCTCCTGCAGCCGTCCTCTCTCAGGGGAAGTGCTGCTTTCAGTCTGAAAGTGAATCCGTCTGTCCTTGTATGTGTGTGTGTGTGTGTGTGTGTGTGTGTGTGTGTGTGTGTGTGTGTGTGTGTGTGTGTGTGTGTGTGTGAGAGAGTGAGAGAGTGAGATGTCTCAATGAGCAGAATAACAACCTGTTTCCTGGTTTGTCTCAGTGAGTCATGTGGTGGGCGGATCTTCATATGTATGTTTGCATGTAGAGGGGGAAGTAAAACGGAGTAGTAACAGAGAATGAGAAGCATAACCATTCTTAATAACCCAACATGAGTGAAGCTAACTTTACTGTACTACCTTTAGCTAACTTTAAGCTAGAATATTTAAACAATACATCCATGAATTTAATCATTAATCATAACTTTTTATCCAACTGTCCGGCAGTGGCTCAGTCGGTAGGGGCTTGGACTGTGAGCCGTAGGGTCGCCGGTTCAAGTCCCCGACCAGACCTAAATATGGAGTGTGGACTGCTACTTGGAGAGGTCCCAGTTCACCTCCTGGGCCCTGCTGTGGTGCCCTTGAGCAAGGCACCGGACACCCCCCTTCCCATTGCTCCCCGGGCGCTGTACAATAGCTGCCCACTGCTCCTGGTACTAGACTCCTGGTACTTGATGGGTTAAATGCAGAGAACAAATGTCACTGCGTGTGCTGTGTGCTCTGCATGTGTGACCATTAAAGAGGGTTTCATCCCTCCGATTCTATTCTAACTATTTACTGTGTATCCAATACCTTTAGCTAATATTGAGCAAACAGTTTTGAGTATTACTTTTACCTAACATTGAGCTAACTATTACCTAACTGTCTATTACTATTAGCTTTCAACAGTGTATCCATACCTTTAGCTAATAACAGGCTATCTGTTTCAGCTGTAGGGTATTACTTTAAGCTAACTATTAGCTAACTGTTTATCTTATACTCCACTAAGTTTTAAATAGCCATACACTCTACTGTGCATATGATGATAAAGCCTTATTTGAACCTAAACCTTTAGCCGATAATGAGCTAACCGTTTCAGCTGTATTACTTTTAGCTAACTAATGGCTAACTGTTTCAACTGTTTATCTAATACTCTTAGCTAACGTTCAGCTAACAACATTGATCAATTACCTTTATCTAACAGCGCAACTGTTCATCCTTACTTTTAAGTAACTTTTGGGTTGTTTATTATTACTCTTGGCCATCGACTCCTAACTGTATCCAGTAGCTTTAGCTAATAATGAGCTAACTGGTTCAACTGTATTGCCTTTAGCTAACTATTAGCTTACAGTTTAAACAGTTTAGCCCTTAAGCTAATAATGAGCTAACTGGTTAAACTGTATTGCCTTTAGCTAACTATTAGCTTACAGTTTAAACAGTTTAGCCCTTTAGCTAATAATGAGCTAACTGGTTAAACTGTATTGCCTTTAGCTAACTATTAGCTTACAGTTTAAACAGTTTAGCCCTTTAGCTAATAATGAGCTAACTGGTTAAACTGTATTGCCTTTAGCTAACTACTAGCTTACAGTTTAAACAGTTCATCCCTTAAGCTAATAACGAGCTACCGGTTTCAACTGTTTGTCTAATTATCTTAGCTAACTTCTCTGAACGTTGTTGGTTTCAGAATTCCAGAAAAGACAGACAACTTCTAAGTTTAACTATTTATTGTAAAGAGAGCAAAATATATATTACTTGGCCAAGGACTCGTCACGTCTTGGAAATCACAGGCAGCAAAGCTGTAATCTGTAACCACCAAATCCGTAAAGAGCCTCAAACCTCGTGCGACAATACATTTTATTACCCAGGGCGTTGCCCGTACATTTATGATTGGTCAAGACTAGATGAAGAGATAGCATGGTTTAGACTTGGTTCTCTTTGGTTGGTGCCCAGACTCAGATAGTCTCTTGGCAACATGACCTTCCAATCAGCATTCGGCCGGCCTGTGGAAGTCCCTCCCTACTCTGGCACCATCATACATAATTTGTTTTCGCCAACGTTTCTTCAGATATAGTGGAAAACCATAATGTTGCTTCCTAGCTTTGCGTAGGAGTGAAGCTCCCATACAATTTAAGGCCGGTGCAATGTGCTGTTCTGACTACCTCTATGTATTCTCTCAGTCTCTGCACTCGACCTTGCTACTTTCAATATTGCAAGCGAAACACTTTCTCCTGTGACTTTTCCCTTCGTTCCTATCTTCCCCATCAAAACTTGGTTTGAGTCTATTTATTCCAAAGTCACAGCCACATAAATGAGCACAATAAGCAAATAATGTAATAATAAGAATCAGTCTTTCTAATGTTATATAAAAATAGCCTCCACAATACCTTTAGCTAATAATGCTAACTGTCTTAACGGCTAACTTTTAGCTAACTGTTTCAACTGTTTAGTACTCTTAGCTAAGTACTCTGAACATTAATCACCTTTATCTTGCACCTGTTAATCCATTACGACTTTTCCTAGAAAGATTTTCACTAAACTATCAGTCAGTATGTTTAGCTGATATTTACATGTTTAACTTCTTAGGCTATCAATATATATTCTTCTCTAATTATTACATATAACTTTTCTTTAAAATATTATAACTATGTTTTGTATTAAACAGGCACTTCATATTATGTCCAGCTGCTAACAGAGCGAACCTAGACTTACCTTCAGCAACACATTGATGTTCGTTCAGTTTGATAGACATTACTGTGCACTCTAAAATAGGAATACACTTTGATGCCAAGCTGTATTTCTCTTTTACCAAAGACTGCCGATTTCATCAACAAGAGGACTTTCTACAACCGTGAAGCATGAAACAACATTCAACATACAGAGTAGACTTTAACACTTTATTTTCCAGTTGAGAATCATCTAAGCTCTAATGATTAACAATGGACGAATCATGTAAAATAAAACATCGTATATCAAGGAACAAATCAATGAAATTCAAAGGGTTACCTGCTGTTCAAATACAGAGACGTCACTTTGAAGATATAATCAAACATCTTGTCGTAGCCCTATACATGTAAAAGGGCATAATACAAATTGTAACAACTTCTTTTGAGTTAATAATTCTAATGATTTGACATCAGTAATGTGTGTAACTACATCTATTCTTGTTGTTCTACCCTCACAGAGACCGTCACTGGTAAAATCTGCAGTGGGAGAGCATCCCGATTGTTAATGTATGGAAACACCCTCTCAGTGAAAGTGTGTGTGAAGGTGTGTATGTGTGTGTTAGTGTCAGGATCAGAGAACGACAGCTTTCCTCCGTCCCAGTCCAGATTCACTCTGACCCTCTGGAGCTTCTTCTCTAATGGGAGAACAATGATATGATCTGGGGATTCTGCATTACATTCACCATTAATGAACCATAATGACCATGGTCCAAACATTGGGCCCTCCTGCCTGCCGACAGCCTCTTGCATCACTCCCAGTTGCCATTCTGCATATTCTGTAAAGTCTCTAACCCAGACGTCCCAGCTGTGAGTCCCTGAGTTGAAGCCCTCAGAGCCCAGGATGGAGCAGTATAAACCATTAAGCCTCTCTGGATTATCAAGAAGTTCCGCTTCCTCCTCTCGCTCCCCTCGCTCTTCTTCCTCCTCTCTTAGTCTCACAGAGGTCAGATCTACAGACACAAATACGTTTGAATCAGCAGTGTTTGGGTCCAGGATCACAGGGTGATATGACACCATGTCCTTCATCTTGCTCCAGATGTTGAAGCTGAGGTTGCCCAGGTGTTTGGCCTGGTCTATCAGAGCTCCTGAGGGCAGATATGGATCCTCCAGCAGGGGGCGCTGCAGCCTCTCCACTGCAGCCTTGTAGTTGTTCAGGAAGGAGACGTCTTTAGCTCTCAGCACCTCCTTTGCAGCTCTGACTGTGTGTGAAAGAGCTGCTATCTCTCTGCTCACAGCCTCCATCTTCTCCTCCATCATCTTCCTCTTCTGCTCTTCTTCCTCCCTCAGTGCAGCCACCCTGGCCTCCTCTTCCTCTTCTAGAAACTGGTGAAGCTTCTTAAACTGCTCCTTAATCTGCGTCTCTGTGTGTTGAGCCTGGTCCTTCATGTATCCTGCTGTGTAAGCACACTTACATTTAAGTTCTTCAAAAGTCTTTAACTTCTTCTTGAAGGGCTTCAGAGATCTCTGGAGCTCCTCTCTGAGATCCTGTGCCGCTTCCTTGATGGGTCTGAATCTGTGGTTGGTGTGTGTTTTTGAATCTCTGCAGACGACACACACTGGCTGCTGATGGTCCAGACAGAAGAGTGTGAGTTTCTCAGAGTGCAGACTGCAGAGAGCCTCTGGGGATCTCCGACCTCTCTCGTATAGGAAACTCTCACACAGGCAGACAGAACAGCAGAAACATTCCTCTAAGCTGGAATCCATTTATCCTGAAAGTGAAGCAGAAAACACAGTTTTTGTTTATTAAAACTCTTGTTCTGTGTGTGGATTCAGCAGCTGCTTGAAGTAGTGTGTGTGTGTGTGTGTGTGTGTGTGTGTGTGTGTGTGTGTGTGTGTGGATTTGCATACACACTACAGTTCAAAACATATTAATCATTACATTACTTGTTAAACGCTTTTATCCAAAGCGACTAACATACTCATACTGTGAGCAATCCCCACAGGAGCCATTTGGGGTGAAGTGTCCCAGGGACACAACGACATACTAACTGCCTGCAGTGGGGTTTGAACCTGTGCTCCCCTGATCCCAACACCAATGCACTAATCCACTGCGCCTCACGCCCATACTTTCCAACCCTCCCGATTTTCGCGGGAGACTCCCGATTTCATTGCCCTCTCCCGGTTTCCTCCCGGGGTCATATTTCTCCCGCATTGCTCCCGATTTCTGACAAAATCAGATTTACTCAGGACTGTTTCCACTCGGACTTTAATACAGTTACACCATTGTTTGGTTTCCATGGTAGCGTAGCGCGCGCAACTGAAAGTCTGAGCGGGTGAGGAAGATAGTCACAGCAAACAGAACAAGAATCGACAATTCTACCCTCTGCTCACTCCTTTCCTGTAAAATACAGGTCCAGCCCACACATATGGTGCTACAGGCCCCCCCCCCCCCCGCGGTGGTTTGGGAAATGCTCCCGATTTCTGAGGTCTCAAGGTTGGCAAGTCACGCCTCCCATGAATCATGAATGATATTGGTTTTCTTTCCTTCAGTTATACCTCACACCTTCACAGAGATTAACACATTATAATTCAGTATTATTTATATTTACAATAATGAAGATTTAAAGGCCCATGTAATGGATTTCACCAACGTGTTCCCTTTATTTTTAACTCACGAACACTTCAACGGATATGACGTCACTGCTTCGGTACATCGTGTTCTGGTAGGAACCTTTCTCACTGTAGTGACTTACTAATAAGTGTTACATTTGTACCGCCGTGTTACGTGTATATAATAATATATATATATATTCTACAATACAATTAGAGTTGTATCGACTGTTTACACCATATTTAAAAGAGTGCAAGTGAGTTTTACAAGATAAACGGCCACTCAGCTGGCGGAAATGTTATGATGACGGACCTCTTACTTACGGCTTATTTGAAGTAACCTGGACCCAAAAGTACCGTTTCTGCTCGTGAATTTACTCCGGAGTCCTGTACGACGAAGCCAGTTCAACATACCCGGGATATCTTTGAGTTATCTGGATTCAATAACTCTAACAAACACGAAGCGGTCCTACGAGGCTGGTTATCAACTCGGTAAATCAACCCAGGGTTTCTCCATCCGGCTATGAGCCAATCACAGGAAAGGGGCGGGGTTAGCAGCATCTGACCAATCAGAAACACGGAGAAGCGACCTGACAGTAGAGCGTCATACTTCATGAATGAAGAGTAATAAGAGTATAAATAATCGTGTTGAAGTTCAACTTTAAACATCCATGACTCAAACACTTAATCCAGGATAAAAGCCACACAGCTTCAGCTGCGAAGAGCAGGAAGAACAGCTGCCAGAAGAAACGGTGTTTGAATGCGTAAATTAACAGGTTTATGATATCACTGCCCTTCTTAGACACGAGTGCATCTGACTTTAATTACACTCTTATCCCGCTTATTACACGGCCTCGTGCTAAACACACTAACGACTTGACTCCCAATATTAAGTATACACTACTTGCATTCATAGAATAAATGGCAAATACTTTCTTTACTAACTTCTTTATCACAAAAAGTACAGGAATATTCAATATCGAGTCTAAATCTTTGCAGGGTATTGTGTGTAATATTTTAAAAGTAACCTCCTTAACTTTATTATTGAGTTAAATGAACCACCAAATGTGTTTCTGGTTGATTTCTCCGTGAAATCAGAATACAACAAGAGGCGTAATTGTCTGTGTTGTGAAGAGCCTCCCTCTGCACACGGAGTTGTTTTGATGACGGACCCTGTTCCTCTCACTTCCGGTGTGTAACACGTGTGAGATGGAGGTGGTTCTGCTGGGTCTGAGTGACGGGGATCTGGACCCGGAGCGGTACCGAGCCTCGTTCATAACCAACAAGCTGGGGGGGAAACCGGACTGGATGCTTCCGGAGCCCTCGCGACAGGCTCCCCGCTGCGCGCGCTGCGGTGCCCCGTTAGCCCAAGTCGTGCAGGTTTACTGCCCCGTGCACATCTGCCCCCCCCACCACAGGACACTTCACCTGTTCGCGTGCACAGGTACAGGGTGGAAGAAGTACTCAGATGTTGTACTTCAGTTAAAGTACAAGTACTCAGATCTTGTTCTTGAGTAAAAGTAGAAGTACTCAGATCTTGTACTTTAGTAAAAGTAGAAGTACCAGAGTGTAGGAATACGCTGTTACAGTAAAAGTCCTGCATTCAAAATGTTCCTCAAGTAAAAGTAGAAAAGTATTATCATCAAAATATAGTGAAAGTAGCGACAGTAAAAGTAGTGATTGTGCAGATTGGTCCATTTCAGAATAATATATATGATATGTTTTATAATGATTGATCATGAAAGTGTTCTCAAAGCTGGTAAAGGTGCAGCTAGTTTGAATGACTTTGTATACTGCAGGGTAGCTTGTGGATTTACTCCAGGTGGAACTAAAGTCTGATTTAACACTTGATTATATTTCACATCATTCATCCACATCTGTAAAGTAACTAAAGGTATTAAATACATGTAGTGGAGTAGAAGTACTAAGTAGCATAAAATGGAAATACTCAAGTAAAGTACAAGTACCTCAAAAAGTATAGTACTTGAGTAAATGTACTTAGTTACTTTACTCCTCTGTGTTCAGGGTGCAGCAGCAGTTCAGAAACCTGGAGGGTGATTCGCTCCCAGCGTCCGGAGGAGACTTCCTGCAGAAAGGCTCCGACTCAAGAGGCTCCAGCTGCCTCAGAGTGGTGCGACACCGCTGAGGACTGGGGGGAGGAAGAGGAGGAGGAGGAGGAGAGTGGAGGTGGGAGGAAGGAGAGCCAGGTGCAAGAGGAGGAAGCAGCTCCTCAGGAAGAAGGTAAAGACTTAATCCCTCATATCCCTCTGTTCCAGCCTGTTACTAAAGTGCTGATTCGCAGACCATATTACGTCTCATTGTTTCTGATAGCAACGTTTCTGATTGGCCCGTGGGTGTAAAGCCCGCCCACATTTGAGTAATGTGGTCATGACGCAGCAAATCTTGGTCAGCTCCGTTGTTCCCCCGTTTTTAGAGATGTGGGTACGGAGGAAAAGAGAGAGGGGTTTATTTCCTGACGCTTTCCTCGTGTTCATTCTCCCCCCAGCCGTCGGAGAGATGCACGCGAGCCTCGGTCTTCAGGATCTGACCCTCGGAGACGACGTTCCTGAGGAAAACGTTCCAGAACTCCGCTCGTTCTTCATCAGCGTGGTGGAGGAATCTGAGCTTTTCGGAGAGGAAGACGAGCTGCATCACGCTCAGAAGCTTCTGCGGGAATACGAGAGGAGGGAGGGGGTCTCCGCGGGGGAGATGGAGGACGAAGAGGGAGGCGGAGGTGAGGAGAAATACGAGAAGACGAAAGCCAGACACGGAGACGCCGTTTTCTCTCGCTTCATGAAGAAGATCTCGCTCTGTCCGCAGCAGATTCTGCGCTACAGCCGGCGAGGGAAACCTCTCTTCATCTCACAGCCGCCGGAAAACATGCAGGTGCCGAAATGTGGATCCTGCGGTGGGGACCGGACGTTTGAGATGCAGCTGATGCCCGCTCTGGTGAGTCTTCTGAGGGGGAGGGAAGAGGAGGAAGTGGAGGTGGAGTTTGGGACGGTGCTGGTGTTCACCTGCAACAACAGCTGCTGGACGGAGGATTCGGGATCCACTGTGGAGGAAATCTGCTTCGTGCAACCGGACCCCGACCAGAAGCTCTTCAAATGACGAACTTCAACATCAACATTAACCTCAAAGAAGAACTCAGAAAGTCAAATAAATACAAATAAATCCTCCCTTTTTAAGGAACGATTCTTTAAAGAGGTTCTATTATAGTATTATATGTGTTGGGTGTTCCCTCTCCTGTAGGTTTGAGTGCATGTAAATGGTCTGCAGAGGCTAGAATCTCTTGTGTGTCTCTCCCCCCTCCGGCTTGAAACGCCTCCATTGTTTACTTCCAGTGACATCATCTCTATGTAACCCTCCTATTGGCTAACACTCCACAACACATTGTACGTGACAGGCAAAGGGGGCGGGGCATCTCTCTAAAGCAGGTTGACCAATCGCAACAGAGCATCCCAGTTTACCAATCCATATTTTATGTTGAAGAACACATTTTTTTTTTTTTATCTCTTCAGCTTGTGTTCACCACAAACCTTATTTCAGACTAACAACCAAAAACACATTCAGAAAACCATTGACTTCCAGACCAGGGGACAGGAATGTTGACTCATTTCTGCACCTCTCTAAAGGAACAATAATAAGATGAAGTCAGATTATTATTCTCTGAACATTATCCACTCCACTGGCTCTGCCATCTATTTATATTTACCAACAATGACTTTAATGAGCCGTCTCATTTGCAGTCATTTCACAAAAAATATCCATATTGTCTTGTCATATCTTTGTTTGTATTTGATCTGCACAGGTTTAATGAATGATGCAGTTCCAACAATGAACACAAGATGGAGTATTCACTTGTGAGTGTGTAGAAATGTAATCACCCAGGCCCAGTAGTTCAAAACCTTTAATCTCAATCAGATCCGATCAGATTTTGAAATCCCATTTTTTGTGATCCAGGATCAGACAAGTCGCCAGATTTTGTCCCAGTAGTTCAAAGCAATTCAGGATCACCTGATCCAGAATCAGACTTCTCAAGATGACTAGATCCTGAATATCAGTGCTTTAATCCTACTGATCTCCATCTAGTGGATATGAAAGATAATACAAGGAAGACAAGAGACCACATTGCAGAGACTTCTATAGTCCGCAATTACTTTTGAAAGGTGATGAGAGACGATGGACTTTTTTGTTGTTGAAGATATGTTTTCTTTAATCTAAATTACATTTGTGATTGACAATCTTTGTTGTGATAAGCATAAACATTTGTGTCATCAACATTTGGTTGAAAACAAAATAGGCCACAAACGTGACCAAAAAATGAAAAATAAAATGGATTTGCCATGAAGGCTAAAAATGGTGTATTATTTCAGTTAACAAACTTTGAAACATATTTTTAAATACATTGTACATTTTGCTCTGGTAATCCACTGGAAACCCACCCCTCTGGTGGGATCAAGATAATCCAGTTTTTTGGGATCAAACTGATCCAAATCCTGTGTTGTCGGTTTGAACTACCCGTTTTGAAGATTTGATCCAGATTAAAGCTTGGATTGGATTTCCTGATCGGATATCAAAGTGATCCTAATCCTGATTTTTGGTTTTGAACTACCCAAAATCCAAATCTGATCCCATCAGATGGGGATTAAAAGTTTTGAACTCCTGGGCCTGGGTGATCAGATGCAGGTGTGTGGGACGGTAGCAAACAGTTTTTGACCATGTCGGCAGACGCCGTGTCGATATGAGCTGTGTGTTAAACCTGTTTGTATTCAGCGTGACTGGCGTCGTGCATATATTGGTATCTGAATGATAACAGAAAGGCAATATGGACAGCAAAATAAATGGATCGATGGATTGAAAGATATACACTCGTATGGACATTGTTTTATCATCTGGAACACGCGTCTGAACTTAGTTCTCCCGTTCCCATCCCTCAGTGGCTTAAGTATGGATAAGGTTAAAAAGCCACGCCAGATTTAGCATTTTGACGGGTTGCATTCAAGATACGTTTTCTTCCTTCTGTGTCATTCATTGCAGATTCACCCTTTAAAAACTCGTATAACGTTGATCTGTTTGTAACCACGAGTGCCTGAAATGTGAGATAATCGACATTTGACTCCGGGATAAAGTGTTTAAAACTCACTCGATAAATGACGTATGAAAACACGAAGCAGATCACATTTTCTTTCATTTTTACTTCAACCTTTACGATACACATTTATCTGATTCAGTGTCTTCATTTTCACACCACGACACGAGGTTGAACAGCGGGGAGGAAATGTAAACCGTTAAAGCGATATCAAATAAATCAGCTGAAGGACTTTTCTGTTAAAAACCGGATCAGATCCAGAGTATCAAAAATACATTCCTTAATAATTAACTGGCCAATAAATAACGACGGTCTTCAGCCTCCGGTGTTTCTGGTGTTTCTGCTGATCTGGAAGTCGGATTTCAGCCCTTTTTCTTTGAGGATTCAGTCGTGAGAAGATCTTTGGTTTTCATCGAGGCGTCTCGGTGTTTCTCTGGTTTTCAGGCACTTGAGGCTCAGTGAGTTTCAGGCACTTGAGGCTCAGTGAGTTTCAGACACTTGAGGCTCAGTGAGTTTCAGACACTTGAGGCTCGGTGAGTTTCAGGCACTTGAGGCTCAGTGAGTTTCAGGCACTTGAGGCTCAGTGAGTTTCAGGCACTTGAGGCTCAGTGAGTTTCAGTCTCTGCGGTACGGCTGCTGCTCAGTGAACTGAAGTCCGCTGATGTCTCTGTCGATGATCTCGTTCACTGCAACACAAACAGAAGAAGGACACCAGCTTTATTTATCACCAGGGCTGGAATACTTCTGATATTCAATACAAAAAAACTAACATATTTGCTTTTTCCTGATTTAGAAACGATCTGAAACTCTTAGGGAAGAGGTTTAAAGCTCCAGAATCTGAACACTTTATTTAACAATTACTCCATTTTAGAATGAAATAAATAATACAACTATATATTTTATTTTACAAACGTAAGAAGTTAAATAAAATAAAAATGTTTATAAACACAAGAAGTGAAAGTAAAAACATCCAATACAAATTGTGTCCAATTCCTAACTTTTTTCTCAGAACTCAAGAAAAAAATATTTTTATTTTTATTTCAGAAAGAAAATAGTTTTATTTTTTTCCGAAAAATAATAAATATTTTTTCTCCGGGATAAAAAATAAATAGTTCTCAACATTTTTTGAGCAACGTAAACATTTTTGGGGATCTGATCAAAAGTGACTTTTTCCCAGAACTCACAAAATCAGTCCCATTTGTCCCTAATCCTCTTCCGTAGGAGTGTTTTCATAAGGCTCTAAATTCAGGCTATAATTGAACAAACTCAAACACACTGCTTCCAACTGTGGATGTAAACATATTAAAAGCACTCTGTAAACAAATGCATGGAAAGAAAATTAATTCAATTAAATTAAAACATGAATGACATGTTTGTGTGCTGTAGTGACAGGTTCTGTATTAAATCTTTAGATAACAAACTAACTAACATCTCTACAAACTGATTCTCACACCGGCCGCTCTCTGAGAAAGTATTGAGTTATTAAAACTAGCTGCGGTTCAGAAAGTGTTTTTCTGCACGGCAGCGAGCGGCTAAACTTAGATCTGCTGTGAAACCGGACGCTGCAGAAGAAAAAAGAATGGTATCATCGTCTCCATCTGACTGAGGCTCAGAGATAACACGCCTCCAACATCTCTCAACATGTAACACTTCTGCATTAAAACGTCTAAAGACCACAAGATGATGCATAATGTGAGCACACAACTATAGAGACAGAGAAATGTGAAACAATATCAGGAACATGGAGTCGTACATTTCCAGGAAAGAAAATACGAATCTATGAAAATTAATCGCTGCATTTCACAGTTTTTCAATATAAAATATATAATGTAATTACTTGAGTTGTGTGCTCACATTATCCCCAATGTTTATGGAGGCGTGTGGCGCAGTGGGCTAGTGCGTTGGTGTTGGGATCAGGGGAGCACAGGTTCAAACCCCGCTGCAGTCAGCATGTCGTTGTGTCCCTGAGACACTTCACCCCAAAGTGCTCCTGTGGGGATTGTCCACAGTATTGAGTATGTAAGTCGCTTCTACTGTGGACAATCCCCACACTCACTTTAAAGAATAGAATGTTGACAGTAGGCCAAAGTCATGTTGAAAGGCAAGAGGTGTGTGTGTGTGTGTGTGTGTGTGTGTGTGTGTGTGTGTGTGTGTGTGTGTGTGTGTGTGTGTGTGTGTGTGTGTGTGTGTGTGTGTGTGTGTGTGTGTGTGTGTGTGTGTGTGTGTGTGTGTGTGTGTGTGTGTGAGACAGCTGCAGCAACAGATTTAACCCTCGCTGCATCATCAGAGCAACAAAAGCTATTATTAACACAGATCAGAGAGAAACACACACACAGGGGGCCCCCTCGTATAAATAACACACACACACACACACACAGGGGGCCCCCTCGTATAAATAACACACACACACACCATGAACTGTTTCAGCATCACAATTAAGGCCCGGACACACCAAGCCGATTTTGGCCGTCGATAGATGTCTGGCCGACGATGAGCGTCCTGTCGCCCTACTCAGATTGGTGTGTCCCGCACCGTCGTGTCTTTTTGGCCGTGCCGACACCTTCGCTGTCGGCCAAATAAATCACTCTGATTGGCTGTTCAGCTAGCGAATCAGTGCATGAGAAGCTAAACGGAAGTGAGGGACGCAAACAAACGATTTAAGAAGACACACACAGACGGCTATTCTTTTTCATTTTCTGGGCTGATACCGCCAGTACCGCACGAAACATGTTTTCGATGGAGGAGAGTGAAAATGGAACGCACACGCTATTTGTTGTTTGTATATATCACGCAGTCTGTCTTCCGGTTGTTGCCTCTTTTGAATGACGAATACACACTACCGCCGCCTGCTGTTAGGAGAGTTATTGCCACTCACGCATGCGCAGTGCGTACGTGTTTCTTGGCCGTCGGCTGAAGTCTTTGCGGTGTGTTCCAGTGCGACTGTTGGCCAAGACGCAGGAGACGCGAGGCGACGTGACAGTCGGGTCCGTCTGTGTCAGTTCTTTGGTGTCAGCGGGCCTTAAGATGTCTGCTTAATTTCAGAAATCAGGTTCTCATGGAAACTTTAAAAACGTTCTGATTTAACTTTGAGAAGCACTGCTTTACAGCAAAGCCCGCCTTCGGTGCTGTGAGATCTGCGTTCTGATTGGCTAAGGCCCTTCTGTACTGAAAACTCTGTGTTACGATGGGCGTCTGTATGGTTAATAAACGTCATCAGATCCTTACCGTCGTCCAGAGTGATCTCCTGCAGACCCAGAGACTCGGGACGCTCCCCAAACTCCTGCTTGATGCTCGAGGAGGGAGGAGACACCTTCAGGGGGGGAGGAGACGTCACCAAGACTCTCCTGGAGCTCAGAGAGGGGGAGAGTCTCCTCTGAAGTCCACTTGAGGAGGAGGATGAGGTAGGAAGGGCGAAGGACTGAGGACAAGTGGAGGAGATCTGAGAAAGCAAGGAAGAGGTGCTAGGAGGTAGGGAGGATGTGTGAGGAGGCATCGAGGGGATGGAGGAGGTGTGAGGGGAAGTGGAAGTGATCTGAGGAAGCAAGGAAGAGGTTTGAGGAGGTAGGGGGGAGGAGTTAGGAGGGATGTAGGAGGAGTGAGGAAACATTAAGGAGGTGTGAGGAGGTAAGGAGGAAGTGGGATGAGGGATTGAGGAGGTGTAAGGAGTAATGGATGAGGTGTTAGGAAGCAAGGAAGAGGAGTGAAGAGGCACTGAAGAGGTGTAAGGAGGTAAAGAGGAAGTGGGAGGCAGGGATGAGGTGTTAGGAAGCGAGGACGAAGAGTGAGGAGGAAGGAAGGAGGAGTTAGTAAACATTAAGGAGGAGTGAGGAGGTACGGACGAGTTAGGAGGTATAGAGGAGGAGTTAGGAAGAAAGGAAGAAGTGTTAGGAGGTAGGGAAGAGTTAGAAAGCAAGGAAGAGGAGTGAGGAGGTAGGGAGGAGGAGTGAGGAGGGTGATGGAGGCGAGGCGGCCCACAATGCACCGGGAGTTCACATGACTCGTAAAACTGCATGTCTGGTTCCGGCTGGTGGAAGGCGGGACCAGGTGCATTGTGGGAGTTGTGGTCCGGCTCCTGTTTGACGGCGGGCAGGAAGGTGAAGTTCTGCGTTAGGCTCCGCCTCCTTTTCCCGTTGGAGACGCAGAACTGGACCAGAATCGGTTCTGAGGTTCTCCGGTTCAGACGAGGAACCTCCACCACCAGAACGCACTGAAACACATTTACACTCACACGTTAAAAACTACAAGGTTCACAACTACAGGAAATCAAAACACTTTACTTTATTCATTTCTACAGGTGAGAGACAGGTGAGAGACAGGTGAGAGACAGGTGAGGGACAGGTGAGGGACAGGTGAGGGACAGGTGAGGGACAGGTGAGAGACAGGTGAGGGACAGGTGAGGGACAGGTGAGAGACAGGTGAGGGACAGGTGAGAGACAGTTGAGGGACAGGTGAGGGACAGGTGAGGGACAGGTGAGAGACAGGTGAGAGACAGGTGAGAGACAGTTGAGGGACGGGTGAGAGACAGGTGAGGGACAGGTGAGAGACAGGTGAGGGACAGGTGAGAGACAGGTGAGGGACAGGTGAGGGACAGGTGAGGGACAGGTGAGAGACAGGTGAGAGACAGGTGAGAGACAGTTGAGGGACAGGTGAGAGACAGGTGAGGGACAGGTGAGAGACAGGTGAGAGACAGGTGAGGGACAGGTGAGAGACAGTTGAGGGACGGGTGAGAGACAGGTGAGGGACAGGTGAGAGACAGGTGAGGGACAGGTGAGAGACAGGTGAGGGACAGGTGAGGGACAGGTGAGAGACAGGTTGAGAGACAGGTGAGAGACAGGTGAGAGAACAGTTGAGGGACAGGTGAGAGACAGGTGAGGGACAGGTGAGAGACAGGTGAGAGACAGGTGAGGGACAGGTGGGGACGGGTGAGAGACAGGTGAGGGACAGGTGAGAGACAGGTGAGGGACAGGTGAGAGACAGGTGAGGGACAGGTGAGGGACAGGTGAGAGACAGGTGAGAGACAGTTGAGGGACAGGTGAGAGACAGGTGAGAGACAGGTAAGGGACAGGTGAGAGACAGGTGAGAGACAGGTGAGAGACAGGTGAGAGACAGGTGAGAGGGAGACAGGTGAGAGACAGGTGAGAGACAGGTGAGAGGGAGACAGGTGAGAGACAGGTGAGAGACAGGTGAGAGACAGGTGAAAGACAGGTGAGAGACAGGTGAGAGACAGGTGAGAGACAGGTGAGGGGCAGGTGAGAGACAGGTGAGGGGCAATGATAACAGGGATTGAGGAGGAGTGAGGAGGTAGGGAGGAGGAGTGAGGAGGAGGTAGGGAGGAGGAGTGAGGAGGAGGAGTGAGGAGGTAGGGAGGAGGAGTGAGGAGGAGGAGTGAGGAGGTAGGGAGGAGGAGTGAGGAGGAGGAGTGAGGAGAGAGGGAGGAGGAGAGAGGAGGTAGGGGAGGAGGAGTGAGGAGGAGAAGGTAGGGAGGAGGAGTGAGGAGGAGGAGTGAGGAGGTAGGGAGGAGGAGTGAGGAGGAGGAGTGAGGAGAGAGGGAGGAGGAGAGAGGAGGTAGGGAGGAGGAGAGAGGAGGTAGGGAGGAGGAGAGAGGAGGTAGGGAGTGTGTTTCTACTCACACCGCTGCTTTTTTCCGGCAGAACTCTGGCATCCATTTCCCAAAGGGATCTTCCATCTGAGGGTTCAATCAAATTCATTAATTCACAAACAGTTTAATAATAGAATAACATTTGAGACAGAATGGAGACATGTGAAATGGGGCACGCTGAGGAACGCTCTGAAGCTTCAAACTAGTAGGGGCCCAAACACTAAACGGTATTTAAAATATACATGACTTTATATTATTGGTCAACCTCTTAGAGATGTCCCGCCCCTTCACCTATCACGTACAATGTGTTTTAGCGCTAGCCAATAGGAGCGCGAGTGTTCTATTGTGATGTCACTATGTTCCGGAAGTAAACAAAGGAGTCCAATGGAGGCGTGTCAGGCCCCTCTAAAGGACCTTGAACAGAACCTTGAACAGGACCTTGAACAGGACCTTGAACAGGACCTTGAACAGAACCTGGTGTGTTTAACGTGCAGCAGAGGGATAGAAAGCGGTCTGACCGGGGCCTTTCTCCATGAACACCACTCTGGACTGGGAGCAGATGTTTGATCCTCTGATGACAAGCTCCTCTCCTCCGTCAGAGGAGCAGCAGGAGGGGGAGAAGCTCTCCACCTGAGGAACCTCCTGCCCCGAGCGCTGGGCTGCAAAACACACACACACACACACACACACACACACACACACACACACACACACACACACACACACACACACACACACACACACACACAACACACACACACACACCACACACACACACACACACACACACACACACACACACACACACACACACACACACACACACACACACACACACACACACACACACACACACACACACACACACACACACACACACACACACACACAGGGGACACATTATAAAATCTGAAACAGTCTGAAAACGTCACGAAACCTAAACAGGGATCTTGGGAGAACCGTTCCATTAATCAAAAAACCCTTTTAGGCCAATTCATTTGAGAGTCTTGAGAGCTGCTCAAACGTTGAATCTCTTTTCTACGTGAAAGTATGGCGAATCAGTACCACCGCAAAGTTGGATGTTCACATCGATCTCTCGTTCATTCCTATGGAGTGCAGTTGTGTGCTCGATTTGCATGAAGACGTGATGTGAATCTCTCAGAAACATCACAGCACACTATGCCGATCATTATGCATGCTTTGATGTGTATTTGTACGTATAGCTCCAGGACCAGTAGTGCAGACAACTTTAGGTGGAAGATGAGGAATGAGATGAAGACGTATGCATTTCCCAACTTGGGATCAATAAAGTATTTCTTATCTTATCGTATTCCCTGCACACAGAGCGATACTACAGGAGACTCACAGCACTCCACAGCGTTGGATGTCGTCTGAAGCCACAGCATGCGTCCGTCCGACTGTGGCAGGGCGACCCTGAACACAACACGCACCCTCGTGTTCTTCCTGCCGATGGCCATCTCGCCTTTCTTCAGCTCGATGTCGGCGTTACGCAGCTTCAAGATGCCCGCACAGTCGATGCTGCGGAGAAAGTTGAAGGTCTCCTATTATACTATTTGTAGGCATATATTATAGGTCTCAGATAGCGACTACTCTTCTCTGAGGTGTTTGAGTGGTGGAAAGCCCTCCTGTACCTGGCGGCCATGCTGTTGCCGGGCAGAAGAGGGATCTCCAGGGTCTTGGAGCCGCCCGTCATCTTCTCCAGACAGGAAGTGGTCACCGTCTTCCCCGTCACGCGGTGCACCTGGTAGAAGGAGTGAGGCCGGAGGACGCGGTCGTCTGCAGTGCCGATGAACAGCAGGAGGCTGAGCGGCTGCTCGCTGTATCCAATCAGCTGCAGGGACAGAGGGACAGGTGAGAGACAGGTGAGAGACAGGTGAGGGACAGGTGAGGGACAGGTGAGAGACAGGTGAGAGACAGGTGAGGGACAGGTGAGAGACAGGTGAGGTACAGGTGAGGGACAGGTGAGAGACAGGTGAGGGACAGGTGAGGGACAGGTGAGAGACAGGTGAGGGACAGGTGAGAGACAGGTGAGAGACAGGTGAGAGACAGGTGAGGGACAGGTGAGGGACAGGTGAGAGACAGGTGAGAGACAGGTGAGGGACAGGTGAGGGGCAGGTGAGGGGCAGGTGAGAGACAGGTGAGAGACAGGTGAGGGACAGGTGAGAGACAGGTGAGGGACAGGTGAGGGACAGGTGAGGGACAGGTGAGAGACAGGTGAGGGACAGGTGAGGGACAGGTGAGGGACAGGTGGACAGCCTGAGAGTAACTCTGGAGTAACTGTGAGAGGCGTCTTCATACTGTCAACACAGGTTAAAAAACTAAAAAGAATAATAAAAAAAGTGAAATAAACTTACAAAAAAGTACTTTTTCTTCCAATTGTTTAAATGTTATTAATCTTTTTTTAAATATAATTTAGGTCAGGATACTAGCTCCTGAGGTCAGGAGGTCAGGATACTAGCTCCTGAGGTCAGGATGTTAGCTCCTGACCTCAGGATACTTGCTCCTGAGGTCAGGATACTTGCTCCTGAGGTCAGGATACTAGCTCCTGAGGTCAGGATGCTAGCTCCTGAGGTCAGGATACTAGCTCCTGAGGTCAGGATATCAGCTCCTGAGGTCAGGATACTAGCTCCTGAGGTCAGGATACTAGCTCCTGAGGTCAGGATACTAGCTCCTGAGGTCAGGATACTAGCTCCTGAGGTCAGGATGCTAGCTCCTGAGGTCAGGATACTAGCTCCTGAGGTCAGGATACTAGCTCCTGAGGTCAGGATGCTAGCTCCTGAGGTCAGGATATCAGCTCCTGAGGTCAGGATACTAGCTCCTGAGGTCAGGATACTAGCTCCTGAGGTCAGGATATCAGCTCCTGAGGTCAGGATACTAGCTCCTGAGGTCAGGATACTAGCTCCTGAGGTCAGGATATCAGCTCCTGAGGTCAGGATACTAGCTCCTGAGGTCAGGATACTAGCTCCTGAGGTCAGGATACTAGCTCCTGAGGTCAGGATACTAGCTCCTGAGGTCAGGATACTAGCTCCTGAGGTCAGGATACTAGCTCCTGAGGTCAGGATACTAGCTCCTGAGGTCAGGATGCTAGCTCCTGAGGTCAGGATATCAGCTCCTGAGGTCAGGATACTAGCTCCTGAGGTCAGGATACTAGCTCCTGAGGTCAGGATATCAGCTCCTGAGGTCAGGATACTAGCTCCTGAGGTCAGGATACTAGCTCCTGAGGTCAGGATACTAGCTCCTGAGGTCAGGATATCAGCTCCTGAGGTCAGGATACTAGCTCCTGAGGTCAGGATATCAGCTCCTGAGGTCAGGATACTAGCTCCTGAGGTCAGGATGCTAGCTCCTGAGGTCAGGAGGTCAGGATACTAGCTCCTGATGTCAGGATATCAGCTCCTGAGGTCAGGTGTGTTCCCCCCTGCTGTTTCCTGCTTCCTGTACGGAGCCTCAGTTTTCACCCTCGCTGCAGAGGAAGCTTCTGGAGAATGTGACACCAGAACAGCTGCTGGTGTTTGTTACCGCTCTTTCCTCTGAGCCGCAGAACAACCACACTCACACCCTCGCTCGTATTCAATGCAGGAAAACAGAGGGAAATCACAGTGTTTCAGAGCCCAGTGACATATGTTCTGTTTCTGTTTCTGTTCGGAGGGTTTCAATGATTAGTGCAGTATAAATCTACATGCAGTATTTTACCGGGGCATGTTCATTTAATAAACTATGAATGTTTTATATCGATGTAACGGGAAGAAACTCATCTAACTGATCTTTTTTTTTTTTTTTTCTGAGCCTCTGAATTAGCAATGAGCGAAAAATGCTAACACCTTACTGCACCGAAAATCACTCACAAAACCTTATTATTTATTTCTTCTCCACATCCAACACATCGTTTCACATCGTGAGGTGACACAGAACCGATGGGTACCCTCATTATCACTGAATTATACGAAATGGCGACGTTATAAGCAAAAACGGACATCAAAACAGGTGACGCTAGGTAGCTAAAAATGCTAACATTTTTACCTTGGCTCTGTAGTCTCTCCAAAGTGGTCTTCAATGGCATTAAAACGATAAAAACGCTGCTGAAGTTAATCCATAGGTTAATCCAATGTGTCTGTGTCCCTTTGAAATGATTTCTGATAATCCATAAGCATTAAAACTGCTTTTCCGTTTCCAGATGTCAAAGCTAGAGATAGGTTCACTCTGATGCAAAATTACATGCGCGAAGCCCCCACCTTTTCGTTTCACAATGAGTGTGTGTGGGGGGCTCCCCCTTCGATTCTATTGGCTCTAACGGTCAGAAAGAGGTGTCAACCATCAAAATCGAGCAAAGGGAAGCCAGAGATATGGAAAATCCACCCAAATGACCCCAGAAGTGGTTTCTTTTTGCTAAATCTCTCTAAAAAGGTCAAATGTCACTTGTTTTGCATCAATCTTGATAGAGGGTACTTATTATATGTTGTACTTTGGATTCCTAAAGCTTTTAGTCTACTAACCCATCATCTAAGGGTAGTTTTCACTATAAGTACAAATTTATTTTTGGACGGACACTATCATTTACAGTTTATTACTATGTAAGATCTGAATTTTCTTTAAAATAAAAAACATCTATATTGATTCTGACTTTTCTACATCCAACTCACAGGTTTATCATTACTTTGAGAATAAAGATTATTAATTTAACCCTTTTAGAAGGGAAGATATGGTCATTTGTTCTGGGAATGTCATTTTCGAGCCTGAGACCTGAAAAACAGGCTCAGGGCTCAACAGGTTAACTGTAGATATGTTTATATTTGCTGTTTATTGTTTTCATTTTATTGTGTTTTTATCTTTTAAATATATTAACGCCTGAACACACTGCTGCTCTATCAAAAACGATTTCCCAATTTGGGATCATTAAAGTGTCTGTCTGTGTGTCTGAGCCTGAACATGAGTCTGAACATGAGTCTGAACATGAGTCTGAACATGAGTCTGAACATGAGTCTGAACATGAGTCTGAACATGAGTCTGAACATGAGTCTGAAATCAAACGTGTCTGGTTTTTAAGACTCACTTTGACGAGTGGATGTCCTGCAGTCGCTGCCTTGATGGACCCGCGGCTGCCCTCCGTCTCATAGTGAGCGCGGTGGTATGATCGGGGCTGGACCTCCACCCTCAGCTCATACTGGTCAAACTGGCTGGGCAGGGGCCAGTCCAGAGGGGGGGGCGACGAGGCTCTGCAGGGACACACACCATCAATCACACACACTGTTACTCAAAGTAGAGTCCACATTCCCCCCTGTAGGACTGGAAAGGGTTGTTCTGTTTGTTTTTGTGTGAATGCAAAGAGGCCATATTCTTATTCTGAGGTGTTCCCTCTCCTCTAGATGTTAGTGCATGTCAATGGTCTGCAGAGACTAAAATCCCTGTGTTCCCTCCAGAGGGAGTTTCTCTCCCACACACTCTCCTCATATCTCAGTAGCATTTAGATATTTTAGATATTTGTCCCCAAGTTTAGCAGCCCTAACTCTGAGTATCTGTATGAAAGAAGCCCACCTGAACAGAGGGGGGTTCCCAGGTTTGGGTTTGTTCCAGCTGAAGTGTGAGGGCACCTGCAGGAAGAGGTCAGTGAGGTCGTCCTGCCCCGCCCCCTCCTCCCCGGGGGGGTCCAGGAAGGCCTCCAGGTCCCCCTGCCCGGCCAGCAGCCCCCCCGTGGTCCTCCGGGTCTTGGAGGGGACGTCCAGCTCCTGGTAGCCCGACAGCAGGAAGGCGGCGGCGGGACTCCCCACCCAGGAGTCGTCGGTGACGCTGCCCCGCGGAGAGGCTCCCGGGCTGGGGGAGTGATGGGGGGAGTGATGGGGGGAGGGATGGGGGGAGTGATGGGGGGAGTGGGAGCGGGCGTGGGGGCCAGCGCTGGAGTGACGTCTCTTTCCACAGGGGGACGTTGGTCTGGAGGACGGCCTGAGGAAGACGTCATTAGATCAACTGTATTACACGTTTCTGAAATGTGTAAATATGCAAATGAGGCGCAGAAATGTGAACACTGGATAAAGCCAGGTTCATATTCTTGTTTCATGTTGATGTTGGCACATTAGAGTCGGAGGGTTTACCAGAGGGATATCTCTTTGTCTCACTTAAGTTAGTAAATGAAGCACCTTGATGTGTATTTGGGATGTTTAATGACACAGTAAGGAAGCAAAACAGCCCAAACAAAGCGCATTTGTTTTTGTCTTGTGTGTGTTTTGTTGTTATTTAAGCCTGTATTAAGTGTCTTTGAGTACCTAATATAATATAAATAATATAACACAGTTACCTGGAGGTGGGTCTGGGGGTCAGCCAGCTCTCCTCGGTGACGCTGGTCCGGGGGGAGTGATGAGGCGACTGTCGGGGCGACTGGTGAGGCGACAGCGATGGACTGAAAGCACCAGGATGTTGGTACTTCTGCTGCCAAAGCTCCACTCCGAAGGCCCCGCCCCCGCAGCCAGGTGAGCCAACGGGGGAGCAGAGAGCCAGGTGAGCGGCGTCCCTAAGCTCCGCCTCCACGTCGTCGTGGGAGAAGGACTCGCAGGAGGACAGGTCGGACATCCAGCTGCGAGAGGACAGGCTGCTGCAGGGACTGGCACTCAGAGCAGGGTCTCTATAACTGGGAACCAGAGGAAGGTACAGCTGGCCCCTGAGGAGAGGGACGTTTGTTTACATAACTTTCAACACGAGGCAATTCACAGTAGAATTTTTTAAATACATTTTCGAATTGTCTTTTTTTTTAATACATTTTTTTAATTAGGTAGATCATTTGTTTATATATAATTTGTTAGAACAGCTTTAAAATCAAAACCTGTTAAAAATCTGCTCAAAGATTGTTGGTCACCGTGTCAGAGACTTTATAACTCAGCAGACCATAATAACCTGTGAGGCTGTCCAACAACATCATCTGGGACAGGGGCGGACTTGGACTAAAAATCAGCCCGGGACTCTCGACCGGCCCACTTCGTCCGACCGGCCCACCTCTGTACCGCAAGTAAATACCGCTAGTAAGTTGTCGACGGGACGGGACGGGGAGTGCTAGTGACTTATCCGACCGGCCCACTTCGTCCGACCGGCCCACTTCAGTACCGGCCCATCGGGATTCGTCCCAAACGTCCCGATGGCCAGTCCGCCCCTGACCAAAGTTATATATAATTTCCAAGTCAATTATATTTTTGGTTATCGATTTGATACTGCTTAAGTTTGTACAGTATCATAATTCAGAGCAGGGTCCCGGTAACTGGGAACAGGAAGATACAGCTGGCCCCTGAGGAGAGGAACGTTTCTTTATATAGCACCTTACAACACGAGGAAATACAAGACGACCCCTCTTTATCAAGACTCATTTTTGGAAAAATACCTTTTTGAAGACCAAATCTTGTTTTTGATAAAGAAAATAAATGTATTTGAAAATATTGATAACACACATCACACATTGTGTTTAAATGTGCCGTCTATTCGTCACATCACAGATGTCTTCTCATTCAGCTGCATCATCACATCACGTCTTCCTCGCTGCCATCCACGGCATTAGAAACGCAGCATTCCTTTAACCCATTTATTATGCTCTCTCGTAACTTCGCCTCTCTTGTTTATTAACTCGCCTACTTTTGAGCCACTTTGTTGGAGTTGGTTGCTGTGTCTCTGCATCTCTATCTCTCCTGTTGCTGTGAACTGTTTCCGTACTTTAAAGGTCCCCTATTACACTGTTTTTCATCAATATATTATATGTCTCAGATATATACAAAACATGTCTCTGAAGTGTTTGGCTCCAATTAGAAAACAGATCACCCATTGCAGCATTACCCATAATCCCCTCTGTTTCAGCCCTGTTTCAAAAGTGCTGATTCTGTGTCTGTTACATTAGATGAAAATAAGGAGCCCCTCCCCACGCCCCTCTGTGAGATATTTGGTTAAAAAGAACACAATAGCCGCGTTCACACCGGAGTACTTTCACCGTACTTTTCGCGTTTTAGTTCCGTGAGTCGCGTTCACACCAAAAATCGTACTTAATCTCGGGTACTTTTACCCCCATTTTTAGAGCCAACTCAGAGAGCGTACTTTTCTGTGGGTGAAAAGTTCTCCAAAAGTGCCCCAGTGCTGATTGGCTGGGCGAATTGCAAACCACGCCCGTACAACTCTGAAAATGTTGTGTAGAGCCGCCATTGTTTTTCCTCGCTACAAAAACACAACGCTCCGTGCGTTGTGTTTGTTTTTGAAAGCAGTTATGGCAAGCATCAAGAAATGATGAGGAGGTGTCGGCGCTTCTGGAGATCTACGCAGAGGACGCGACCCAGGGAATGCACTGAAGCCAGTTCAGTAGCTTTCACTCGACCTGGGAATGTGCACAGCCCCACGGCACACCGGCTAAAAATAAAGAAACTCGGGCAGGACTACAAACGGCGGATTCAGTGGCCAACGATGACGACGAAGGTAAAATCAACTACATGCACTGGGGTTTTAATCTGCACAATAATGGTCTCAGATGTACTTTTATTTGCTCAGTAGATCAAGCTAGCCATGCTAGCCATAATAGGCTAACACCGGCCCCGAGCACACAGTACACACACACTGTAACTTTGTCTTGAAAGAACGTTACGCATCGAACTGATGTTCACAATCATGTTTATTTCATAATATTCATCATATTTTATGTTTAACTTGCCTCAACAACATTAAACAAAGTTCAAGCATACATGAAGCACTCTTCAAAAAGGAACAATCCTCCGTGTTTGAACCTCTTAAATCGCTGCATAGCCGATTTATTTGGACTGGATTATCCCAGAGAGTCAAAAGATTCTTTATAACACAGTTTCAGATTTGTGAAACCTTAATTCTATTTGTGAAAATACAAAAAACACATTCCTAGTATGTTGTAAAACTACATGGCGACTAAACTTGTATATTGTATATTGCTTATTTTCCCCTCTTAGGAAAGCGGACACGGGATGCGAATTTCTTTGACACCGCCCAGGCGTTGGAGGACCGGCGTGCCGTGGTGAATGAGTCGCTGCGTGGAGATCAGATGGTGCTGTTCACCAAGGCCCAGGAAACGGAGGACAAGATGCTCACCTCGATGGAGCGCCAGGCAGAAGTGTTCAAGCAGCAGATGGAGCGCCAGCAGCACCAGGATGAAGTGTGGGCGCTGCGCCATGAGGAAGCGTCGGCGCAGCGGCAGGATGAGCGACAAACTGCATTTAATAACAGTTTATTTGGTATAGTTTTTGTAAATAATGACACACGACACACAACGTTGCACTAAGGTGTGCATGCTGCTGAGAATATCCATACACCTGGGACAGTTTATTTTATATTGTTATTACTGTTATGACTTTATTTTATATATAATGTTTACTGACATGTACAACTGACACTTTATTTACATTTAAAATTGTTCTATTTAATGTTATGTCTTGAGAGTGCAATAAAGAAAACCGACATGGCGATTAAGCTTATTTCTCCTGACACTTTATCTTTAGTGACCTGTGTAGCATCCGATACATCACATGTAAGTGATTATTCTGATACCATCATGTTTCATCGGTTATAAACTGGCAAAGCTTTATTTGTCATTTATTTATCATCAATGTTGCAACCTTGTGGAGGAATGGCAGGGGCACATACACAAATATGATAATTTATATCATTTTAAATATTATTTGACCTAAACTTTTAATTCCCCCCCATTTCACACAACACAACATGGAGTCCACTATGGGCCAAAACTAACATGTATGTTTGCATAGTGTTTATGGCAGACGGATGCAGTGGGTCTCAGGAAGATATATAATAAAGGTGGGTTTGCTGCTGAGACTCCCTACAGCTGGGAGTTTATTTTATATTGTTATTACTGTTATTATATAGTACAACTGACACTTTATTTTATATTGACAATGTTTACTGACATGTACAACTGACACTTTAGTTACATTTAAAATATTTCTATTTAATGTTATGTCTTGAGAGTGCAATAAAGAAAACCGACATGGCGATTAAACAGATCCTGTATCAGTTTTTCTTCTTCTCTTGTTTTGTAGCGGGTTGCAAACAACTTTAAGGTGCTTACCGCCACCTACTGTACTTGTAATCTTCCCTCAGGGAAAAGTACTCCGGTGTGAACGCGATCTGTACTAAGTACCCTGGGGTTAAAAGCGCCAGGGCTCTTAGTGCCGGAACTAAGTACAGGAAAGTACTTGGTGTGAACGCGGCTAATGGTGCTCTTGGAGGAGATTGGTTGATTCGGCCGAAAAGGCGTCGGCCCGGCTGAAAAGACACGACGGTGCGGGACACACCAATCTGAGTAGGGCGTGTTGACGCTCATCGTCGGCCTGACGCCCACCGATGCCGATAATCGGCCTGGTGTGTCCGTGCCTTAAGACGACCCCTCTTTTTCAGATTTTTTTCTCGGAAAATAAACCCCGTCTTGTATTCGGATCAATACGGTAGTATTTTTTAAATCAATTATTTGACAAACCAGGATGCCTCGGGGTTCCCGCCCTCCGCCCGGCAACACGCCATCACTTCCTGTCCGCTTCCTGGATCCACATGGCTGTTGGGAGCGATGGAAGTGATCTGGATACTCGGGCACTCGAAGGTCCTGGTGTTCCCCAGGGAGCCGTACTGGGGCCCCTGGGAGTCGTACAGGGAGCCCTGCAGTTGGTACTGGTAGTCGGCGGGAGGGAAAGGGTGAGTCTGAAGCTCCAGAGCCTGATTGGAGGAAGAAGAAGGGGGGGAGGCGCCATCGAGCTGTTGACCTGAGAGGAAACAACATGCAAATCATAATCAAACGAGACCTTCATCATTTGATTTGCAAAGAGGCTTGCAGACATAACACAATAATAATAATAATACAACAGGTTTCATATCCGAGGTGCTGGGAATCTATTAACACTCTTTCTACGTCTCTTGCATGTCCTATATATATTCATGTTGCTCTGTTGGAGGACTCTTTAAAGTAGAGACATTACATACTGATATACACCTGAACATCAGCAGGAGAGGACTCTTTAAAGTAGAGACACTACATACTGATATACACCTGAACATCAGCAGGAGAGGACTCTTTAAAGTAGAGACACTACATACTGATATACACCTGAACATCAGCAGGAGAGGACTCTTTAAAGTAGAGACACTACATACTGATATACACCTGAACATCAGCAGGAGAGCACTCTTTAAAGTAGAGACACTACATACTGATATACACCTGAACATCAGCAGGAGAGGACTCTTTAAAGTAGAGACACTACATACTGATATACACCTGAACATCAGCAGGAGAGGACTCTTTAAAGTAGAGACACTACATACTGATATACACCTGAACATCAGCAGGAGAGGACTGTTTAAAGTAGAGACACTACATACTGATATACACCTGAACATCAGCAGGAGAGAACTCTTTAAAGTAGAGACACTACATACTGATATACACCTGGACATCAGCAGGAGAGGACTCTTTAAAGTAGAGACACTACATACTGATATACACCTGAACATCAGCAGGAGAGGACTCTTTAAAGTAGAGACACTACATACTGATATACACCTGAACATCAGCAGGAGAGGACTCTTTAAAGTAGAGACACTACATACTGATATACACCTGAACATCAGCAGGAGAGGACTCTTTAAAGTAGAGACACTACATACTGATATACACCTGAACATCAGCAGGAGAGGACTCTTTAAAGTAGAGACACTACATACTGATATACACCTGAACATCAGCAGGAGAGGACTCTTTAAAGGAGAGACACTACATACTGATATACACCTGAACATCAGCAGGAGAGGACTCTTTAAAGGAGAGACACTACATACTGATATACACCTGAACATCAGCAGGAGAGGACTCTTTAAAGTAGAGACACTACATACTGATATACACCTGAACATCAGCAGGAGAGGACTCTTTAAAGGAGAGACACTACATACTGATATACACCTGAACATCAGCAGGAGAGGACTCTTTAAAGTAGAGACACTACATACTGATATACACCTGAACATCAGCAGGAGAGGACTCTTTAAAGTAGAGACACTACATACTGATATACACCTGAACATCAGCAGGAGAGGACTCTTTAAAGTAGAGACACTACATACTGATATACACCTGAACATCAGCAGGAGAGGACTCTTTAAAGTAGAGACACTACATACTGATATACACCTGAACATCAGCAGGAGAGGACTCTTTAAAGTAGAGACACTACATACTGATATACACCTGAACATCAGCAGGAGAGGACTCTTTAAAGTAGAGACACTACATACTGATATACACCTGAACATCAGCAGGAGAGGACTCTTTAAAGTAGAGACACTACATACTGATATACACCTGAACATCAGCAGGAGAGGACTCTTTAAAGTAGAGACACTACATACTGATATACACCTGAACATCAGCAGGAGAGGACTCTTTAAAGTAGAGACACTACATACTGATATACACCTGAACATCAGCAGGAGAGGACTCTTAAAGTAGAGACACTACATACTGATATACACCTGAACATCAGCAGGAGAGGACTCTTTAAAAGTAGAGACACTACATACTGATATACACCTGAACATCAGCAGGAGAGGACTCTTTAAAGTAGAGACACTACATACTGATATACACCTGAACATCAGCAGGAGAGGACTCTTTAAAGTAGAGACACTACATACTGATATACACCTGAACATCAGCAGGAGAGGACTCTTTAAAGTAGAGACTAGGGCTGCTCGATTATGGCAAAAATCATAATCTTGATTATTTGGGTCAATAATTGATATCATGATTATTAAAAACGATTATCCATTTATTGAAAAAAAATATGTCGTTTTATTTCGATTAGGTTGTTTTCATAATCGTTGCAAGCCAAAATCGTAATTGCGATTAAAATACGATTAATTGAGCAGCCCTAGTAGAGACACTGAATACTGAACATTAGTGAAGAGTAGGTCTGCAGCACGATTTATTTTTCCACTATATTATTACTGTGAACTGGATTAGAGGAAGCAGAATTAATTTGTGTTATTTTAATATCTGGTTATTAAAATAACCATTGAACTACTTTCTGATGAACTCAGAGTTCACTCACCGCACTATGAACAACAGTTGAGTAAATTCATTCACACAGCTGCACACACTCACCACAACATGACTATTAATACCACACACACACACACACACACACACACACACACACACACACACACACACACACACACACACACACACACACACACACACACACACACACACACACACACACACACACACACACACACACACACACACACACACACACACACACACACACACACACACACACACCACACACACACACACACACACACACACACACACACACACACACACACACACACACACACACACTGCATGCAAAATAGGAAGTCAAAGCAGCAACAGTGAAGAGATTCACTGTTGCTTTAAAACAAACACATTACATGGGATGAAGAGGATGATGAAGAGGAGGTAGAATTTAAAATGTAAGGAATTTTTTTAAGTAAAATCCTAAAACAAAACAACAACAAAAATCTTTGTAAATCTTTAGACAGTTGAAGACGAGGAGGAAGATAAGAAAGAGGAAGAGGAAGAGGAAGAGCTGCCAGCTGGCACAGACAGAAAACCAGGAAGTAAAACCTGCCGGCAGACAGGCGGCAACTCGAGGACTTCCTGTACCGAGCGGCAAACACCCAAAAAAAATACTAATGTCTAAAATATGAATGCATTCACAAAATGCTGAGAGAAACAAGAAGCTCTACTTTAAAGAGTCCTCTCCTGCTGATGTTCAGGTGTATATCAGTATGTAGTGTCTCTACTTTAAAGAGTCCTCTCCTGCTGATGTTCAGGTGTATATCAGTATGTAGTGTCTCTACTTTAAAGAGTCCTCTCCTGCTGATGTTCAGGTGTATATCAGTATGTAGTGTCTCTACTTTAAAGAGTCCTCTCCTGCTGATGTCAGGTGTATATCAGTATGTAGTGTCCTCTACTTTAAAGAGTCCTCTCCTGTTGATGTTCAGGTGTATATCAGTATGTAGTGTCTCTACTTTAAGAGTCCTCTCCTGCTGATGTTCAGGTGTATATCAGTATGTAGTGTCTCTACTTTAAAGAGTCCTCTCCTGCTGATGTTCAGGTGTATATCAGTATGTAGTGTCTCTACTTTAAAGAGTCCTCTCCTGCTGATGTTCAGGTGTATATCAGTATGTAGTGTCTCTACTTTAAAGAGTCCTCTCCTGCTGATGTTCAGGTGTATATCAGTATGTAGTGTCTCTACTTTAAAGAGTCCTCTCCTGCTGATGTTCAGGTGCATATCAGTATGTAGTGTCTCTACTTTAAAGAGTCCTCTCCTGCTGATGTTCAGGTGTATATCAGTATGTAGTGTCTCTACTTTAAAGAGTCCTCTCCTGCTGATGTTCAGGTGTATATCAGTATGTAGTGTCTCTACTTTAAAGAGTCCTCTCCTGCTGATGTTCAGGTGTATATCAGTATGTAGTGTCTCTACTTTAAAGAGTCCTCTCCTGCTGATGTTCAGGTGTATATCAGTATGTAGTGTCTCTACTTTAAAGAGTCCTCTCCTGCTGATGTTCAGGTGTATATCAGTATGTAGTGTCTCTACTTTAAAGAGTCCTCTCCTGCTGATGTTCAGGTGTATATCAGTATAGTTCAAGGTGCAAGGCTTTTATTGGTCCTACGCAGTGTGACCGTGTTTAAAAAAAAGCATGTGCTACTATTTCTGATCCCAGAGAGCCACCACCTGTATGCAGAGGATTGAAATAGCACCAGAGTAAATGTTTGCAGAGTGAAGCAGGTAAAACAGTCAGGTCACATCACACTATGTTGTGCCTTATATTAAGAAATATTATTTTAGTAAAGCTATAAAAAGGCATGCATTAAGGTTATAATATAAATGCTATGTTTCTACAGTCTGATAAAGTTGCAGTTACTTTTTAAATGTGAAAAAGTAACTTTTTGTAGCTAAAATTCTTATTTTTGTCTCTCATTTTCACGAGATTGTGCCATCAAAATACGTTAAAAAGTACTTTAAGTGAGTAATAAATATGAATACTTCATATCATTACATCTTAATATATAATAGCCCATAATATAAAAGTTAAGATGAATACAATCTGCCATTTTTGTGAGTTCAAAGTGTATAAACACAACTAAAATGTTACAAAATGACCACCGCAGCCTACTAATCAGAACATAAAAAGAAAGCCGATTAATTAATAAAATAATAAACACACTGTGAATAGTCTCTGTAGCTTTCTGTGGTTTAAATGGAAGCTGATCCACATTTTAAATTAACCTACATTTAAATATTTAACCTAAATTTAACAGCAGACAGCTGGAGGTGTCACATAAACTGAAGTCTGACTGCTCCACTTCCGGTTACGACTTTCAAAGTAAAAGCAAAATATTGAGGTACTTGTACTTGATCACTATAGTATAAGATCTGAGTACTTATTTTTGTACCTTTACTCAAGTACAACATCTGAGTACTTCTACTTTTACTCAAGTACAAGATCTGAGTGCTTTTCCCACCTCTATCTATACATCTATCTAATGCTGAGTTTTATTCTGAAGGCCGCACAGCTTCACTTCCGGTCTAACCACCGCTGCCTCCCGTTAACTTGACCCTGAATGGTGACACATTTCTAACTAACGTCGTCAAAATAAAAGCCCGTTTACCTGCCGCCTGTCTCCCGTCGAACATCAGTCTGAAGTCCAGCTCCTCGGCGCAGTTTACCGACGACATTGACCCGTTAAACTGTTAAAACCTGTCTGTCTCTCGAACCTGTCTCACTCACTACAAACACGTCACTAAAAGTTGTTACCCGCCATCCACTCGGTTAATAAACGCGCCCACAGGAAGCGCAGTCAAAGCGTTAAAGTCCCATTGTTGTTGTTGTTGTTGTTGTTGTTAACTTGTTGTTTGTTCTCTGTTTCTGTGCGGCTGTTTGAGTTTCAGTTGATCCCAGTGCTGCGTTCACGGTCTTTCCGTAAACTACAACACCGAGCCCCCAGGAAGTGAGCTGGACGTTGAAACACATATTTGGAATGGCGTAGTGGCCAAACGCCGGTACTGCAGCCTCCGTGAACGGGTGGGAAGTAACTCATAATAATAATAATAAATTACATTTATTATACCGCATTTCAAGGGACCCAAGGCAGCTTTACATGCTGTGAACAAACAAACAAACAAGTTGGGCAAATAATAAAGTAAACATTAAATATATACTAGCAGTGTGAGATTAACTAAGTACATTTAGTCAAGTAGTTAAGTACAATTTTGAGGTACTTGTGCTTTACTTGAGTATTTCCATTTTATGCTACTAGATTTAATCAGAGGTGGTAAAAGTACTCAGATCGTGTACTTGAGTAAAAGTTTAAGTACTCGGATCTTGTACTTGAGTAAAAGTAGAAATACTCAGATCTTGTACTAAAAGTTCTGCATTCAAAATGTTCCTCAAGTACAAGTACAAAAATATTAGCATCAAAATATACTTAAAGTACCAAAAGTAAAAGTAGTCATTCTGTTGCTTAAGTACTTGAGTAAATATACTTAGTTACTTGTTACTAACTCTTTCAGTCACAAACAGGTCAAATGATATGTTTTAGAAAAAGGAATTGTCTCTGCATTTAATCTCATTGTCAGAGAAAGCAAGTTGTGAAAATACACTCATTAACTTTCCTAATAAATCATTTGAATGAGTCTCAAAGTCTATAAACCATGGTGATCACAACATGTAAACATGAATTGTTTATAATTTAATATTAACGTCATATTTTAAAGACGAAATAAGGAAACAGAGCTTCCTAATCAGTAAGAATAATATATAATAGAGTGTAAAAATGATTCACTCAAGGCTCAGTACGAGGTGTTCAAGGTCTCATTTAAATGCTGTTACTAATCTTTAAGGATCTGTTCGTGTACTTCCCTTTTCTGACACCAACTTCCTGTTAGACATTAACAAACTTTATCTGATATATTTTCAGCAACCTGACAGACACGCTGTGCACGGAAACACTTCCAAAGACTGCAAAACACGGTGATTTCTAAACTTTATACAGAGTGTAAACATGTTCTAGTCTCATTTACAGTATAAGGAGATTTAAAGACTTTTCACCGATGTTGGTTACTCTCTCATATTTCCCAGGGTCCTTAAAAGCAGCAACAGCCAGCCCCGTGGTGATGTCATCAGCTGGGTGTCAAGTTCAACTCAGGGGAGGAAGTATTCAGAGACTTTACTGCAGTACAAGTACTAATACTACACTGTGCACATACTCTGTCACTATAAAAGTACTAATACCACACTGTAGGAATACTCTGTCACAGTAAAAGTACTAATACCACACTGTAGGAATACTCTGTAACAGTAAAAGTACTAACACCACACTGTAGGAATACTCTGTCACTATAAAAGTACTAATACCACACTGTAGGAATACTCTGTAACAGTAAAAGTACTAACACCACACTGTAGGAATACTCTGTCACTATAAAAGTACTAATACCACACTGTAGGAATACTCTGTCACAGTAAAAGTACTAATACCACACTGTAGGAATACTCTGTCACAGTAAAAGTACTAACACCACACTGTAGGAATACTCTCACTATAAAAGTACTAATACCACACTGTAAGAATACTCTGTCCCAGTAAAAGTACTAATACCACACTGTAGGAATACTCTGTCACTATAAAAGTACTAATACCACACTGTAGGAATACTCTGTCACAGTAAAAGTACTAATACCACACTGTAAGAATACTCTGTCCCAGTAAAAGTACTAATACCACACTGTAGGAATACTCTGTAACAGTAAAAGTACTAATACCACACTGTAGGAATACTCTGTCCCAGTAAAAGTACTAATACCACACTGTAGGAATACTCTGTCACTATAAAAGTACTAATACCACACTGTAAGAATACTCTGTCCCAGTAAAAGTACTAATACCACACTGTAGGAATACTCTGTAACAGTAAAAGTACTAATACCACACTGTAGGAATACTCTGTCACAGTAAAAGTACTAATACCACACTGTAGGAATACTCTGTCACTATAAAAGTACTAATACCACACTGTAGGAATACTCTGTCCCAGTAAAAGTACTAATACCACACTGTAGGAATACTCTGTAACAGTAAAAGTACTAATACCACACTGTAGGAATACTCTGTCACAGTAAAAGTACTAATACCACACTGTAGGAATACTCTGTCACAGTAAAAGTACTAATACCACACTGTAGGAATACTCTGTCCCAGTAAAAGTACTTGTAACTCAAAGTAAGAATACTGTCACAGTAAAAGTACTAATACCACACTGTACAAATACTCTGTCCCAGTAAAAGTACTCGTAACTCAATGTAAGAATACTCTGTCCCAGTAAAAGTACTCGTAACTCAATGTAAGAATACTCTGTCCCAGTAAAAGTACTCGTAACTCAATGTAAGAATACTCTGTCACAGTAAAAGTACTTGTAACTCAATGTAAGAATACTCTGTCACAGTAAAAGTACTTGTAACTCAATGTAAGAATACTCTGTCACAGTAAAAGTACTTGTAACTCAATGTAAGAATACTACTTTTAGGACGTCAAAATATTGTTGATTCAGAAAAAAAGCAAAACGACCAGTTGTGGAGGAAGTATTGAGAAACTTTACTGCAGTAGAAGTATTAATACCACAGCTTTAAATAAAAGTACTGCATTCAAAAAATAAATGACAATATTTAGAGTTCAAAGAAGTACTTTTTGAGGCAGAAAAAAAACCCCAAACCATAGAAATTCTGTTTTTAAATCTCTTCATTTGTTCTTACAGTTCCCACTGATAAAGGAGCTTTAAATGCAGACAAACAAATAAAAACAAACAAAAATCAGTTTGTTTAACCTCCGTGTGTTCCTCGTGTAAACACCAGCGTCTCCTCCTCCTGAAACCCAAAGCAGTTCTCCTTAGCTCTTCTCTGGAGGCGTGTTTGCGTTTTGATCGTCTCCGTTGACATGTAGTGTTTCCTCCACCTGCCGCATGTCGCCCGAGTGTCTCTTGCTGCTCTGCTCTTCTTCTGTGGTGCCGTTGGTCCTCCCGTCTCTCTTCCTCTTGCAGACCAGGTCCGACTCTTCGTCTCCGATTCGACCCTCTGGTATTCCCAGAACTCGGAGACACACCACGGAGGCCGCCTGCTCGGCAAACTTCTTCGACTTCTCCCTGAAAACCAGAGAAAACCTTTACTCAAGTAGAAGTACACACATCCTTTACTCAAGTAGAAGTACACACATCCTTTACTCAAGTAGAAGTACACATATCCTTTACTCAAGTAGAAGTACACACATCCTTTACTCAAGTAGAAGTACACACATCCTTCACTCAAGTAGAAGTACACACATCCTTTACTCAAGTAGAAGTACACACATCCTTTCCTCAAGTAGAAGTACACATATCCTTCACTCAAGTAGAAGTACACATATCCTTCACTCAAGTAGAAGTACACATATCCTTTACTCAAGTAGAAGTACACACATCCTTTACTCAAGTAGAAGTACACACATCCTTTACTCAGGTAGAAGTACACACATCCTTTACTCAAGTAGAAGTACACACATCCTTTACTCAAGAAGTACACACATCCTTTACTCAAGTAGAAGTACACACATCCTTTACTCAAGTAGAAGTACACACATCCTTCACTCAAGTAGAAGTACACACATCCTTTACTCAAGTAGAAGTACACACATCCTTTCCTCAAGTAGAAGTACACACATCCTTCACTCAAGTAGAAGTACACACATCCTTCACTCAAGTAGAAGTACACACATCCTTCACTCAAGTAGAAGTACACACATCCTTTACTCAAGTAGAAGTACACACATCCTTTACTCAAGTAGAAGTACACACATCCTTTACTCAAGAAGTACACACATCCTTTACTCAAGTAGAAGTACACACATCCTTCACTCAAGTAGAAGTACACACATCCTTTACTCAAGTAGAAGTACACACATCCTTTACTCAGGTAGAAGTACACACATCCTTTACTCAAGTAGAAGTACACGCATCCTTTACTCAAGTAGAAGTACACGCATCCTTTACTCAAGTAGAAGTACACGCATCCTTTACTCAAGTAGAAGTACACACATCCTTTACTCAAGTAGAAGTACACACATCCTTTACTCAAGTAGAAGTACACATATCCTTCACTCAAGTAGAAGTACACACATCCTTTACTCAAGTAGAAGTACACACATCCTTTACTCAAGTAGAAGTACACACATCCTTTACTCAAGTAGAAGTACACACATCCTTTACTCAAGTAGAAGTACACACATCCTTTACTCAAGTAGAAGTACACACATCCTTTACTCAAGTAGAAGTACACATATCCTTTACTCAAGTAGAAGTACACACATCCTTTACTCAAGTAGAAGTACACACATCCTTCACTCAAGTAGAAGTACACACATCCTTTACTCAAGTAGAAGTACACATATCCTTTACTCAAGTAGAAGTACACACATCCTTTACTCAAGTAGAAGTACACACATCCTTTACTCAAGTAGAAGTACACACATCCTTTACTCAAGTAGAAGTACACACATCCTTCACTCAAGAAGTACACACATCCTTCACTCAAGTAGAAGTACACACATCCTTTACTCAAGTAGAAGTACACACATCCTTTACTCAAGTAGAAGTACACACATCCTTTACTCAAGTAGAAGTACACACATCCTTCACTCAAGTAGAAGTACACACATCCTTTACTCAAGAAGTACACACATCCTTTACTCAAGTAGAAGTATACACATCCTTTCCTCAAGTAGAAGTACACACATCCTTCACTCAAGTAGAAGTACACACATCCTTCACTCAAGTAGAAGTACACACATCCTTCACTCAAGTAGAAGTACACACATCCTTTACTCAAGTAGAAGTACACACATCCTTTACTCAAGAAGTACACACATCCTTCACTCAAGTAGAAGTACACACATCCTTCACTCAAGTAGAAGTACACACATCCTTTACTCAAGTAGAAGTACACACATCCTTTACTCAGGTAGAAGTACACACATCCTTTACTCAAGTAGAAGTACACACATCCTTCACTCAAGTAGAAGTACACACATCCTTTACTCAAGTAGAAGTACACACATCCTTTACTCAGGTAGAAGTACACACATCCTTTACTCAAGTAGAAGTACACACATCCTTCACTCAAGTAGAAGTACACACATCCTTTACTCAAGTAGAAGTACACACATCCTTTACTCAGGTAGAAGTACACACATCCTTTACTCAAGTAGAAGTACACACATCCTTCACTCAAGTAGAAGTACACACATCCTTTACTCAAGTAGAAGTACACACATCCTTCACTCAAGTAGAAGTACACACATCCTTCACTCAAGTAGAAGTACACACATCCTTCACTCAAGTAGAAGTACACACATCCTTTACTCAAGTAGAAGTACACACATCCTTTACTCAAGTAGAAGTACACACATCCTTCACTCAGGTAGAAGTACACACATCCTTTACTCAAGTAGAAGTACACACATCCTTCACTCAAGTAGAAGTACACACATCCTTCACTCAAGTAGAAGTACACACATCCTTCACTCAAGTAGAAGTACACACATCCTTCACTCAAGTAGAAGTACACACATCCTTCACTCAAGTAGAAGTACACACATCCTTCACTCAAGTAGAAGTACACACATCCTTTCCTCAAGTAGAAGTACACACATCCTTCACTCAAGTAGAAGTACACACATCCTTTACTCAAGAAGTACACACATCCTTCACTCAAGTAGAAGTACACACATCCTTTACTCAAGTAGAAGTACACACATCCTTTACTCAAGAAGTACACACATCCTTTACTCAAGAAGTACACACATCCTTTACTCAAGTAGAAGTACACACATCCTTCACTCAAGAAGTACACACATCCTTTACTCAAGTAGAAGTACACACATCCTTCACTCAAGAAGTACACACATCCTTTACTCAAGTAGAAGTACACACATCCTTTACTCAAGAAGTACACACATCCTTTACTCAAGTAGAAGTACACACATCCTTCACTCAAGTAGAAGTACACACATCCTTTACTCAAGTAGAAGTACACACATCCTTTACTCAGGTAGAAGTACACACATCCTTTACTCAAGTAGAAGTACACACATCCTTCACTCAAGTAGAAGTACACACATCCTTCACTCAAGTAGAAGTACACACATCCTTCACTCAAGTAGAAGTACACACATCCTTTACTCAAGTAGAAGTACACACATCCTTTACTCAAGTAGAAGTACACACATCCTTTACTCAAGTAGAAGTACACACATCCTTTACTCAAGTAGAAGTACACATATCCTTCACTCAAGTAGAAGTACACATATCCTTCACTCAAGTAGAAGTACACATATCCTTTACTCAAGTAGAAGTACACACATCCTTCACTCAAGTAGAAGTACACACATCCTTTACTCAGGTAGAAGTACACACATCCTTTACTCAAGTAGAAGTACACACATCCTTTACTCAAGTAGAAGTACACACATCCTTTACTCAAGTAGAAGTACACACATCCTTTACTCAAGTAGAAGTACACACATCCTTTACTCAAGTAGAAGTACACATATCCTTTACTCAAGTAGAAGTACACACATCCTTTACTCAAGTAGAAGTACACACATCCTTTACTCAAGTAGAAGTACACACATCCTTTACTCAAGTAGAAGTACACACATCCTTTACTCAAGAAGTACACACATCCTTCCCTCAAGTAGAAGTACACACATCCTTCACTCAAGTAGAAGTACACACATCCTTCACTCAAGTAGAAGTACACACATCCTTTACTCAAGTAGAAGTACACACATCCTTTACTCAAGTAGAAGTACACACATCCTTTACTCAAGTAGAAGTACACACATCCTTTACTCAAGAAGTACACACATCCTTTACTCAAGTAGAAGTACACACATCCTTCACTCAAGTAGAAGTACACACATCCTTTACTCAAGTAGAAGTACACACATCCTTTACTCAGGTAGAAGTACACGCATCCTTTACTCAAGTAGAAGTACACGCATCCTTTACTCAAGTAGAAGTACACGCATCCTTTACTCAAGTAGAAGTACACACATCCTTTACTCAAGTAGAAGTACACACATCCTTTACTCAAGTAGAAGTACACATATCCTTCACTCAAGTAGAAGTACATACATCCTTTACTCAAGTAGAAGTACACACATCCTTTACTCAAGTAGAAGTACACACATCCTTTACTCAAGTAGAAGTACACACATCCTTTACTCAAGTAGAAGTACACACATCCTTTACTCAAGTAGAAGTACACACATCCTTTACTCAAGTAGAAGTACACATATCCTTTACTCAAGTAGAAGTACACACATCCTTTACTCAAGTAGAAGTACACACATCCTTCACTCAAGTAGAAGTACACACATCCTTTACTCAAGTAGAAGTACACACATCCTTTACTCAAGTAGAAGTACACACATCCTTTACTCAAGTAGAAGTACACACATCCTTTACTCAAGTAGAAGTACACAATCCTTTACTCAAGTAGAAGTACACACATCCTTCACTCAAGAAGTACACACATCCTTCACTCAAGTAGAAGTACACACATCCTTTACTCAAGTAGAAGTACACACATCCTTTACTCAAGTAGAAGTACACACATCCTTTACTCAAGTAGAAGTACACACATCCTTCACTCAAGTAGAAGTACACACATCCTTTACTCAAGAAGTACACACATCCTTTACTCAAGTAGAAGTATACACATCCTTTCCTCAAGTAGAAGTACACACATCCTTCACTCAAGTAGAAGTACACACATCCTTCACTCAAGTAGAAGTACACACATCCTTCACTCAAGTAGAAGTACACACATCCTTTACTCAAGTAGAAGTACACACATCCTTTACTCAAGTAGAAGTACACACATCCTTTACTCAAGAAGTACACACATCCTTTACTCAAGTAGAAGTACACACATCCTTCACTCAAGTAGAAGTACACACATCCTTCACTCAAGAAGTACACACATCCTTTACTCAAGTAGAAGTACACACATCCTTTACTCAAGAAGTACACACATCCTTTACTCAAGTAGAAGTACACACATCCTTTACTCAAGTAGAAGTACACACATCCTTTACTCAAGAAGTACACACATCCTTTACTCAAGTAGAAGTACACAGATCCTTCACTCAAGTAGAAGTACACACATCCTTTACTCAAGTAGAAGTACACACATCCTTTACTCAGGTAGAAGTACACACATCCTTTACTCAAGTAGAAGTACACACATCCTTTACTCAAGTAGAAGTACACACATCCTTTACTCAAGTAGAAGTACACACATCCTTCACTCAAGTAGAAGTACACACATCCTTTACTCAAGTAGAAGTACACCACATCCTTCCTCAAGTAGAAGTACACCATCCTTCACTCAAGTAGAAGTACACACATCCTTCACTCAAGTAGAAGTACACACATCCTTCACTCAAGAAGTACACACATCCTTTACTCAAGTAGAAGTACACACATCCTTTACTCAAGTAGAAGTACACACATCCTTTACTCAAGAAGTACACACATCCTTTACTCAAGTAGAAGTACACACATCCTTCACTCAAGTAGAAGTACACACATCCTTTACTCAAGTAGAAGTACACACATCCTTTACTCAGGTAGAAGTACACACATCCTTTACTCAAGAAGTACACACATCCTTTACTCAAGAAGTACACACATCCTTTACTCAAGAAGTACACACATCCTTTACTCAAGTAGAAGTACACACATCCTTCACTCAAGTAGAAGTACACACATCCTTTACTCAAGTAGAAGTACACACATCCTTCACTCAGGTAGAAGTACACACATCCTTCACTCAGGTAGAAGTACACACATCCTTCACTCAAGTAGAAGTACACACATCCTTCACTCAAGTAGAAGTACACACATCCTTTACTCAAGTAGAAGTACACACATCCTTTACTCAAGTAGAAGTACACACATCCTTTACTCAAGTAGAAGTACACACATCCTTTACTCAAGTAGAAGTACACATATCCTTCACTCAAGTAGAAGTACACATATCCTTTACTCAAGTAGAAGTACACACATCCTTCACTCAAGTAGAAGTACACACATCCTTTACTCAGGTAGAAGTACACACATCCTTTACTCAAGTAGAAGTACACACATCCTTTACTCAAGAAGTACACACATCCTTTACTCAAGTAGAAGTACACACATCCTTTACTCAAGTAGAAGTACACACATCCTTTACTCAAGAAGTACACACATCCTTTACTCAAGTAGAAGTACACACATCCTTTACTCAAGTAGAAGTACACACATCCTTTACTCAGGTAGAAGTACACACATCCTTTACTCAAGTAGAAGTACACACATCCTTTACTCAAGTAGAAGTACACACATCCTTTACTCAAGTAGAAGTACACACATCCTTTACTCAAGTAGAAGTACACACATCCTTTACTCAAGTAGAAGTACACACATCCTTCACTCAAGTAGAAGTACACACATCCTTTACTCAAGTAGAAGTACACACATCCTTTCCTCAAGTAGAAGTACACACATCCTTCACTCAAGTAGAAGTACACACATCCTTCACTCAAGTAGAAGTACACACATCCTTTACTCAAGTAGAAGTACACACATCCTTTACTCAAGTAGAAGTACACACATCCTTTACTCAAGAAGTACACACATCCTTTACTCAAGTAGAAGTACACACATCCTTCACTCAAGTAGAAGTACACACATCCTTTACTCAAGTAGAAGTACACACATCCTTTACTCGAGTAGAAGTACACACATCCTTTACTCAAGTAGAAGTACACACATCCTTTACTCAAGTAGAAGTACACACATCCTTTACTCAAGAAGTACACACATCCTTTACTCAAGTAGAAGTACACACATCCTTTACTCAAGAAGTACACACATCCTTTACTCAAGTAGAAGTACACACATCCTTCACTCAAGTAGAAGTACACACATCCTTTACTCAAGTAGAAGTACACACATCCTTTACTCAGGTAGAAGTACACACATCCTTTACTCAAGTAGAAGTACACACATCCTTTACTCAAGTAGAAGTACACACATCCTTTACTCAAGAAGTACACACATCCTTTACTCAAGTAGAAGTACACACATCCTTCACTCAAGTAGAAGTACACACATCCTTTACTCAAGTAGAAGTACACACATCCTTTACTCAAGTAGAAGTACACACATCCTTTACTCAAGTAGAAGTACACACATCCTTCACTCAAGTAGAAGTACAGATACTCGTGTTTAAAAATACTCTGGTGAAAGTAGAAGTACTGACTAAACTTCTTTACTCAAGTCAAAGTAAAGAGGCTTTGAAATGTACTTCAGTAAAAAGTACCCATACCTAGCAGCTGCTTTAAAGAGTACCTGACCTCCCTTTAGAGTATTTGTTATATTTATTGGTAGTAATTGTTGTTGTTATTGTTGTTGTTGTTCTGACCAGAGTGAAGATCTGAATCTCTTCCCTGCAAACGTCACCGTGGACTGAAAGCCTCGATCCAGAGAGCGCTGCACCTGAGACAGGAAGAAGAGCCAGAGCTGAGTGTGTGTGTGAGAGTGTGTGTGTGTGTGTGTGTGTGTGTGTGTGTGTGTGTGTGTGTGTGTGTGTGTGTGTGTGTGTGTGTGTGTGTGTGTGTGTGTGTGTGAGTGTTTGTGAGTGTGTGTCTCTCACCCTCTCACAGAGTGTGTGTGTGTGTGTGTGTTTTCCTCACAATCTCATAGTGTGTGTGTATATGTATCCGAGTGCGTGTGTGTGTCTGTGAGAGTGTGTGTGTGTTTGTGTGTGTGTGTGTGTGTGTCTCTCACCCTCTCACAGAGTGTGTGTCTCTCACCCTCTCACAGTGTGTGTGTGTGTGTGTGTGTGTTTGTGAGTGTGTGTGTGTGTGTCTCTCACCCTCTCACAGAGTGTGTGTGTGTGTGTGTGTGTCTCCTCACCATCTCATAGAGCGGCTGCTGTGTGTGTGTGTGTGTGTATGTGTGTGTGTGAGTGTGTTCCTCACCATCTCATAGTGTGTTTGTGTGTGAGTGTGTGTGTCTATGTCTTAAGCATCTTTGAGCATTAGGAAAAGAGCTATACAAATCCAATATATTATTATTATTATTATGTAAGTGTGTCTAAGTGAGTGTGTGTGTGTGTAAGTGAGTGTGTGTGTCTAAGTGAGTGTGTGTGTGTCTAAGTGAGTGTGTGTGTCTAAGTGAGTGTGTGTGTGTCTAAGTGAGTGTGTGTGTGTCTAAGTGAGTGTGTGTGTGTCTAAGTGAGTGTGTGTGTGTCTAAGTGAGTGTGTGTGTGTCTAAGTGAGTGTGTGTGTGTATAAGTGAGTGTGTGTGTGTCTAAGTGAGTTTCTGTGAAAGAGTGAGTGTGTGTGTCTAAGTATGTGTGTGTGTGTGTCTCACCATCTCATAAAGTGTCTGTGAGTGTGTCTAAATATGAGTGAGTGAGTGTCTAAGTGAGTGTGTGTGTATAAGTGAGTGTGTGTGTGTGTATAAGTGAGTGTGTGTGTGTGTATAAGTGAGTGTGTGTGTATAAGTGAGTGTGTGTGTGTGTGTGTGTGTGTGTGTGTGCGTCTCACCATCTCATAAAGGGGCTGCTGCAGCCTCTCCTTGCGGCTCCACTCCAGCAGGAACATCTTGGGGCTGAAGTGAGGAAGGTACTCCCGTCTGGAACACACATCGTTTCATCAGGAACACATTCGGCTAAACAGAATCACAAATCTCCCCTCCCTGACGCGTCTCCTCTGACCGGATGAATTTGACGGCCATGGTGCTGACGTCTCCCTCCATCCTCAGAGCGTCGGGGGGGCAGTCTCCCTGCAGCTCGCTCCTCTTCTTCTGAAGCTCATCCTCCGTCTGCTGGCAGAACTGTTGCAGCCCGAACGCAGCGCTGCAACACAACAACAACAACAACAACAACACACCTTTAGCTAAAGTCACAGGCAGACTCTAAACATAGTTCAGGGCTAGATATTATAAATGGCCCGGAAGCACTGTGTGGACCCCCCGGGCCGCTTAACCTCCACTTGCCCGCTCGGGACATTACAAATAGTGCTTTAAAAAACAACACCAGTAAGACATCACATCCCACGGTCCTGTGGTGTTTTGAGCAATTTTGTTAAATGGTTTCGTTTCTTAACGCTACAACATAGGGGCGGAGTGGCGCAGTGGTCTGTGCGTCTGATCATCAGATCGAGGGGGTGTTGGGGAACTCCAGTTCAAAACCCGCTCCCGCCGCCTCTGCGTCAGGCCGTTGTGTCCTTGGGCAAGACACTTCACCCGAATTTGCTCCTGTGGGTATTGTCCACAGTACATGTATGATATTAATGTGTACTTGTAAAGCGCCTTGATTGAGTCTGCGTGATCTGCGTGTAGGGAGGGGCAGCAGCCATATCATTAGCGAGAACTAGCTAGATCTGATGGATTTGGACATAAACGCGAGTGAAGTACCGGACGTGAGAGAGAGAGAGATCAGCACCTGCAGCTCTGCCCGCTGTGAGGGACCGGTGAGCGGAACAAAACACACCTTTAGACGTCACCTAACACATTTAGCTATGGCACTGTCGTATACATTGAATTATTCAATTTGATAATATGTAATCAACTTAGGCATCCCTCCCAAAAAAAAAAAAAAAATGAATAAAAATATTCATTACTCATATTCGAATACCTGAATAATTTCGAATATTCGATTAATCGTTCCCATCCCTAGTATGTATGTGTAATGTGTATCTGTAAAGCGCTTTGGGTCATGGAAAAAGCGCTATAATAAATATAAGGTATTATTATAGCGTTTCGTGAGGCGGTTGTCGTTGTTGGGTGAACGACAACCGCCTCACGACAGACTTTCTCGCCACCTAACCATTCACCAAAAGATTTTTAAAACCAGCGGTAACCGGCCAAGCGCCGGGCAAAAAACAATCTTCAAATAAAAGAAAGTCAGCGGAGGAGATAAAGGAGAGGGACGGGGAGTAGGAGAAGAAGAGGGAGAGGAAGTTTCAGCCACACTGGCTTGATGGATGGAGTTAGCTTCAATATGATGATATAAACACGGTCTTCTGTCGGCTCTGAACATCAACGCCGAGCTATGCTGACACGTAAGAGAAGAGTAGAAAATATAAAGGTATTGGCTTCAGGGAAATGTCCCAGCAGGAGAATGAAGGTTCTGATCTATTAGCCATTACATGTCTACCTCCTGATGACAGGAAGGCAGAAAACACATTATACTAACAATAATACTCATGATAATGATAATGATAATAGCAGACATTTTTTAACAATGACCACAATATAATACTTTTAATAAACCAAATATGAACAATTGAGGAAAATGAGGAAGAACTGATGATCCAGATGTTGTAGTTCAAGCAGTAATGTAGTTTGTGCATCAGTTACTATTGAACCATGTGTTCATTTTCTTCACGATTAGTCGATCTCTTGGACGGACGCTCTTTGGCCAGTGGAGATGAAAAGGGGCCAGGAGCTTTTTACCCTTAATGTCTGCCCCTGTAGTGACATGTTTAAAAAGCTATTTAATAGAAAGGAAGCACTTGATCTTTGCTCATTGTTAAATACCTACAAGTACATCAGGGGCCATGTATTCCTTTTCTCCTCAGGCCTAATAATGTTATTAAGAAACACCCTGGTTAATAAGGTGAACGCACCTGATGTCAGCGTGAGTCTGCGCCGCCTGCAGCAGCTTCCCCTGAGGAGACTCCACCTTGTCTCTCAGCATCTGACACAGGCAGTACTTGGTGTTGAAGGCGTGGTTCTCGTACCGGATCGCCTGAGGAACATTCAAAACAATCATTAATGTCATTAATATCATTTACTATTTTAATGGTGTTACGCCCTCTTACTCTCGGCGTGCGCCCTCATAACAAAATGCAGATTTTCCCCGTGTTAAAGTGATGCCAGAAAAACAATATCTCTGTTCCTCAGAGACGGTGTAATGACTCCAGGAATCTGAGGATCAAACAGAGCGTCAGGCGGCAGAGACAGCTTTGTTTTTACGGAGCTCCGACGTCACGTTGCTGTTTACGTCACTTTGCTGTTTACGTCACGTTGCTGTTTACGTCACGTTGCTGTTTACGTCACTTTGCTGTTTACGTCACTTTGCTGTTTACGTCACGTTGCTGTTTACGTCACGTTGCTGTTTACGTCACGTTGCTGTTTACGTCACGTTGTTGTTTACGTCAGGAGACATCTTGTTTACGGGCGTCATGTTGTAAACAAGAACAGAGACAGAGTGCTCATACTATATCTTTCTAGAAACACCCCTGAAATGATTTTAAACTAATGTCATATTGAACAAAAGTGTAAAAAAAAAATCTGTCATTATTACTTAAAGGGGACCTATCATGCAAAATGCACTTTTGCACGTCTTTTCTACATGAATATGTGTCCCCGGTGTTCCAGGGAACTCACCAAGTGTCAGAAAACACAACCCTCTCTATTTTCCTCCATACCCAAATCTCTAAAAAAGGGGCTGCAACGGATCTGATAAAAACTGATCCAGATTTGAACACTGTCCTGACGTCAGGACGGTGGCGCTACGGCTATTGGGCCAACTCCACCAATCAGGAGGAGACAGCCACGGCCATTGCCGTTCGAAAGCGCTGGAGACGCTGTAGTACATATGCCAGGCCTCTAGGTGGTGCTGTTCTCACTGAATCTGCCCTTGCTAAAACAGATCTAAAAAATGTCAAATTAAGCGAAATGAGGCATGGCTAAAATGCATGATCTGTTTGGTATTTTAAAAAAAAAAGTATAAATATGCCTTATATAGGTATGGTCCTACACTATATTATTATAATATAGCATGATAGGTCCACTTTAATTAGTTATTTTCTCGTTAAGTTAACAACTGTGGATATATATATGTGTGCATATTATATGTACTATAATGACATATTCATTTTAATTGTGGTATAAATGTATTGCTTTTTTTGAGACTCACGTATTTGAGGTAGTCCTCCATCACTTTTTCCAGAGGGAAGGGTCCCGAGCGGCTGAACACAGAGACGTTCCACATGGCGGCGCGAGCCAACATCACCGAGGAGGAACCCGTCTTCTTCCTGAACTCCTCGATATCTGCGTTGGTTTTCACCAAATCCAGAGATCCACCGCTGAGGAGGACGTTTAGTTAGTGTCTCTACTTTAAAGAGTCCTCTCCTCCTGATGTTCAGGTGTATATCAGTATGTAGTGTCTCTACTTTAAAGAGTCCTCTCCTGCTGATGTTCAGGTGTATATCAGTATGTAGTGTCTCTACTTTAAAGAGTCCTCTCCTGCTGATGTTCAGGTGTATATCAGTATGTAGTGTCTCTACTTTAAAGAGTCCTCTCCTGCTGATGTTCAGGTGTATATCAGTATGTAGTGTCTCTACTTTAAAGAGTCCTCTCCTGCTGATGTTCAGGTGTATATCAGTATGTAGTGTCTCTACTTTAAAGAGTCCTCTCCTGCTGATGTTCAGGTGTATATCAGTATGTCGTGTCTCTACTTTAAAGAGTCCTCTCCTGCTGATGTTCAGGTGTATATCAGTATGTAGTCTCTCTACTTTAAAGAGTCCTCTCCTGCAGATGTTCAGGTGTATATCAGTATGTAGTGTCTCTACTTTAAAGAGTCCTCTCCTGCTGATGTTCAGGTGTATATCAGTATGTAGTCTCTCTACTTTAAAGAGTCCTCTCCTGCTGATGTTCAGGTGTATATCAGTATGTCGTGTCTCTACTTTAAAGAGTCCTCTCCTGCTGATGTTCAGGTGTATATCAGTATGTAGTGTCTCTACTTTAAAGAGTCCTCTCCTGCTGATGTTCAGGTGTATATCAGTATGTAGTGTCTCTACTTTAAAGAGTCCTCTCCTGCTGATGTTCAGGTGTATATCAGTATGTAGTGTCTCTACTTTAAAGAGTCCTCTCCTGCTGATGTTCAGGTGTATATCAGTATGTAGTGTCTCTACTTTAAAGAGTCCTCTCCTGCTGATGTTCAGGTGTATATCAGTATGTAGTGTCTCTACTTTAAAGAGTCCTCTCCTGCTGATGTTCAGGTGTATATCAGTATGTCGTGTCTCTACTTTAAAGAGTCCTCTCCTGCTGATGTTCAGGTGTATATCAGTATGTAGTCTCTCTACTTTAAAGAGTCCTCTCCTGCAGATGTTCAGGTGTATATCAGTATGTAGTGTCTCTACTTTAAAGAGTCCTCTCCTGCTGATGTTCAGGTGTATATCAGTATGTAGTCTCTCTACTTTAAAGAGTCCTCTCCTGCTGATGTTCAGGTGTATATCAGTATGTCGTGTCTCTACTTTAAAGAGTCCTCTCCTGCTGATGTTCAGGTGTATATCAGTATGTAGTGTCTCTACTTTAAAGAGTCCTCTCCTGCTGATGTTCAGGTGTATATCAGTATGTAGTGTCTCTACTTTAAAGAGTCCTCTCCTGCTGATGTTCAGGTGTATATCAGTATGTAGTGTCTCTACTTTAAAGAGTCCTCTCCTGCTGATGTTCAGGTGTATATCAGTATGTAGTGTCTCTACTTTAAAGAGTCCTCTCCTGCTGATGTTCAGGTGTATATCAGTATGTAGTGTCTCTACTTTAAAGAGTCCTCTCCTGCTGATGTTCAGGTGTATATCAGTATGTAGTGTCTCTACTTTAAAGAGTCCTCTCCTGCTGATGTTCAGGTGTATATCAGTACGTAGTGTCTCTACTTTAAAGAGTCCTCTCCTGCTGATGTTCAGCTGTATATCAGTATGTAGTGTCTCTGCTTTAAAGAGTCCTCTCCTGCTGATGTTCAGGTGTATATCAGTATGTAGTGTCTCTACTTTAAAGAGTCCTCTCCTGCTGATGTTCAGGTGTATATCAGTATGTAGTCTCTCTACTTTAAAGAGTCCTCTCCTGCTGATGTTCAGGTGTATATCAGTATGTCGTGTCTCTACTTTAAAGAGTCCTCTCCTGCTGATGTTCAGGTGTATATCAGTATGTAGTGTCTCTACTTTAAAGAGTCCTCTCCTGCTGATGTTCAGGTGTATATCAGTATGTAGTGTCTCTACTTTAAAGAGTCCTCTCCTGCTGATGTTCAGGTGTATATCAGTATGTAGTGTCTCTACTTTAAAGAGTCCTCTCCTGCTGATGTTCAGGTGTATATCAGTATGTAGTGTCTCTACTTTAAAGAGTCCTCTCCTGCTGATGTTCAGGTGTATATCAGTATGTAGTGTCTCTACTTTAAAGAGTCCTCTCCTGCTGATGTTCAGGTGTATATCAGTATGTAGTGTCTCTACTTTAAAGAGTCCTCTCCTGCTGATGTTCAGGTGTATATCAGTACGTAGTGTCTCTACTTTAAAGAGTCCTCTCCTGCTGATGTTCAGCTGTATATCAGTATGTAGTGTCTCTGCTTTAAAGAGTCCTCTCCTGCTGATGTTCAGGTGTATATCAGTATGTAGTGTCTCTACTTTAAAGAGTCCTCTCCTGCTGATGTTCAGGTGTATATCAGTATGTAGTCTCTCTACTTTAAAGAGTCCTCTCCTGCTGATGTTCAGGTGTATATCAGTATGTCGTGTCTCTACTTTAAAGAGTCCTCTCCTGCTGATGTTCAGGTGTATATCAGTATGTAGTGTCTCTACTTTAAAGAGTCCTCTCCTGCTGATGTTCAGGTGTATATCAGTATGTAGTGTCTCTACTTTAAAGAGTCCTCTCCTGCTGATGTTCAGGTGTATATCA